CTCCCTTTTTCAACAGAAGATGATATTCATCTCAACATAAATATTGCATCTTTCAGACAGGTAGTACAACGCAGCCTGTATCAGAATCAAAACTTTATTTATTTTTCCTGTTCTTTCACATCTCTTCTATCAGTCTTTTTGGTCTCACAATTAGTCTCTTGGACACTTCTCTTTGTGTTACATCACTGTTCATGTTTTTGTCTGTCACTGCTGTTTTAGGTGTGTCAGGTGGTTGGTCATTTTGACTCAGCATCTTTGTGTCATTTGTGTTGCTGTCCATTACTCTGAAAGAATGATTTTGAGGTAACTGGTAATAAAGTATTATTCTGTTTTAAGTTTATTTCACATGCAACCTTAGCATGTTTGTTTTCAGTGGGAGGAAACCGGAGCACCCGGAGAAAACTCCCACCACGAGGCGATAACTCTGCGCTCATGTCTGCTTATACTCACAGGCAGCACTGCTTAAAAGTTCTGCTCTGATATGTTAAAGCACTTAATTAATCTCCAAACCCTTGCTTGTCTGTCGCAGTGTGTCGTGGCTTAGGTTCCCTTTCATAAAAGTAAACAATTGCATCGTAGTCAATTTCCCTTTTGCCTTGTGAAACATCTGTCATATTTTGATCTTCTAGGTTCATGTTATTATTGTCATCGAACCTGTACGTCCAAAGGTGCTCCCATTCGTCCTTACTGCTGCTGTGACAAATGATAGATGACAGGCGGTAACACTCTGATCTTTCATCGTCTACAGGAATATATAGATAATGAGATGGGATCACAGGTTTACTACGTTCAAACACATCTAAGTTGGTTCGAGGCAAGAAAAGGGTTACAATGTCTAGGCAATTCCAGTTTCTTTCTACCATCATAAGGGAGCCACATCGGGTACATGTCACCCCGCTTTCGCTTTCCTTGATTCCAAATGTAAGAAGAGAGGAAATCGACATATGCGCACCCACTGGTGGTAAAACGTAGATCTGGCCTGGGCTTTCTGTGCATACTGTAGTGAATTCACAGTCAATACACCAGTCTTTTCCGCTAAGGTAAATTGTTGAATGCACCCCACACTTGTCCAGCCACAACAGTAAAGACTGTATTAAGTCAAATGGATGATTTTGATCCCCCAACTCGTGCAAAGGTCGTGATTGTAAGCACACTTCTCTCAAAACTGGATCGATTTCTGTTGAACTGAAACTCCTCCCAGGGACAGAGAGGCTGTCCAAAAACAACTTGGCAAGCAATGGTGTCTCTGACAATCTTACCAAATCATTTTTGGGTCTACTTCTCAATTTTTGCTTCACAATGTCGAGGTTTTGCACAGCTCGTAATATTGCATTCATCCAACAAGTATTATATGCTCTATCTGATGACTTGCAATAGTCTGAGCAGGTATTAAATGGATATGATGGTAGTGGGAACTCATCCTTTTCAGATGAATACGACATGCTCAGTGTGTCAACGACTGAAACTGCTGGGATATCCGGAGGAGCATCTTGGTCTTCAGAGGAGTCTACTGTTGCCACTGGGGCTTCAGGTGAATACTGCATGCTATCTGAAGGAGCATCTTGGTCTTCAGAGGAGTCTACTGTTGCCACTGGGGCTTCAGGTGAATACTGCATGCTATCTGAAGGAGCATCTTGGTCTTCAGGGAGTCTACTGTTGCCACTGGGGCTTCAGGTGAATACTGCATGCTATCTGAAGGAGCACCTTGGTCTTCAGAGGAGTCTACTGTTGCCACTGGGGCTTCAGATGAATACGGCGTGCTATCCAAATGAACATCTTGGCTGGCAGGGGAGTCAGGTTCAGGGACACTCAGGTCCGCATTGCCCGCATCTTCCTCTTCTGGGACAAAAAATTTCTCAACGAGTGTCCTCATGGTTTTAGTAACGAACAAACCAAGTAAAAAGAAAGCCATGACCTGTGATTAGTTGCCAAAAATGGAGGAACTATCCAGCTGTCTTTCTGTATTTATCTTCCAGTCCTTCTCTTTATCTCTCTGTGATGATAGTACGATGCCTTTGAAGTTCCAAGGTTTAAAATGTGACTCTCATGTATGAGTATAAGTATGAGATTCGAACGTGACGTCACACTTCACCTTGCCTTTGAAGTCGTTCCCGAACGTGATTGGCCTTTGTTCATTTTCGAACCACAACAAACCTCTCTGCTGTGTGAGAGCGTGAGAGAGACGTCATCAGAAAATGTGATTGTCTTGATCATATCAGAATATCTGAAAATTAAATTATCTGAGGCCCTAATTTACCGATGCATTTTATTTTTTAGCTCAGAAGAGAAATCTGTTGGATTTTTTTCTAAATACTTCCAAGAAATGTTTTGGATTTTTTTTCTATCAGTAGGCTATTTAAATTAACCGAAAAGAAGCATTTTTACAGACAGCTTCTAATATTGACTTGAGAAATGTTAATGGACAGCATAGTGACGGGGCTGCCGCTGCTGAGTTCAGGCCTGTTGTCAGCGCGCAGGAGGAGAAGGAGAAGAAAAAAAGAGAAAGTCTCCCTCAGACAGCGCACAGAGTGCGAGCATGCAGTCCGGGACAATGTGCTGAATTGGCAGCCTATATATAAGTCTGCCATTTGGACAGTCTAATGCCACTTTACCTTATGAGGGAAGTTCAACCCGCAGCACCTGCTCAAAACAAAATGCCATAGGAGATCAACTCCAGCGAACCCCCCCTCCGGCTCGGATTGTTTTTCAGACAGACACTCTCACTTACAAGAGAGGAGGAAGAGGAGGGGAGTGGGGACGTCTATAAATTGTTATGCACGGGAACAAACAATTAAACAACTTGTTGGAGATTGTGATTTACCGTGCAGGCTGGTGTGGGCACGTCCAAACTGTCTAACGTGACAAATTAAAGTCTGAATAGAAGAGGTATTTGATGTGCAAACAAAAATGTGGACGCATAAAACAATTAAAGCAGCTGCTGGGCTTTTCTTGTTTAACTTCATGCACAACAGGTGATTAAGATATTAAAGCTTTAAGCTGTTTTAATGGGGCCACAAATCAGAGGCAAATACCCAGACTTTGCATTTCCTCTTTAGCGGTTTTCAGACTCATTTTTTTTGACCAGCTTCTGTAATCATCTCTGTGTGTTTCTTGAAAAGCTCCTTATCTGCAGACGAGCAGCGGCTTATCAGAGAACTTGAGCGTCTTTATACGGGGAACACCCTGAAAAAGACTCTTATCTGTTTGTTCCAGGCCGTGGTCGTGCGCCTTGTCCTCTTGTACCCCCTGAAACATGTTCCGCGTGAACCCGAGGCAAACTCTCAAACAGGAGACACTAGACCCAGCTGATTGTCCGAGCTGCACACCCTCCACCCCGGATAACAAACTGCCCCTGCTGCATGGCACAAGTTCACACACCCACAATCCGCTACATATTTTACTACATCAAGCACATCTAACCAGGGAAATGTACGCATTTTATCGCCGAGAAAGCAAAGGAACAAGGTGCACATGTAACAGGAAAAATAAATGAACTCACTCTGAAAATCATGCTGGGAAATTTTGAACTCACTAATTTCTCTCTCAGTGCCGGGACACTGTCCTGCCCCCCCCCCCCCCCCCCGGTATTGTCTCCCAATGGATCCGCGTAAAAGGGCTTCAAGTCTATTTTAATTTATGACTCACGCATTCTTGAAGGGTCAGTCACCGTGACCTCCAGAGGGGAAAGTTACCTCTGACCCTAAATACGCTGTCTTTTCTCTTTCACCCCTCTACAGTCTATTTCTCTTGTCTGGTGGGAAACACGGGACACCGAAGAAACTGTGCGTCTGCATGTGGAGGTGCAGCGCAGCCGGGGACGCGCACGGGGACCTCAGGACTGTCCGGCTGAGCGCAAGACGTCCACAACTATGGACAGAAAAGCTACCGCTGTGTGGCTGAAGAGGAAACTACTGTCAATATCATCCCACAGACTCTAGTGGGTCTGACAAGGGTGACTTCAGAAGTCATTGTAAATTCTTAAAAGCTTTACAATCGAACTTCAGAAGCACTTCAAAAGTTAATCACTGACTCTACCTTGTTTTACGCAGAGCTTCTTTGCAGCCTGTTCTTCAGAGACTATTTCTTAATCACTTAATATATTCTGAGCATAGAGAACTATTTATTATAGTGAAACAAAACTACTCAACCTTTTCTGTTAATCGTGCAAGACTTGCAGAAAAATCATAATTTGTGGCTCACAGCTTGATCTTTTTTTTTTTTTCAATTAGTGGATAGACTATGGGCGAAAATGAGTGCTTTAAATAACACGTTTCAAAGTTAGATTACTTTTATCCGTTTTATTTGATAGACAAATATATCGTGATTTTTTTTTAGACTCCTTTCACCCCCACTAACAAGAGCCTCAGTGGACAAAAGTGATGGAATATAACTATCGGTCTATTTGCTTTTTTAAATGTATTTATATATAAATAAAAATGTCACCCAGTTTGAGAATAAGATCACAAGTTTATTTGTAGCTCATTATAAGCTTAATATTTTTAAACGCCTATTTTTTTATTTGAAAAGCAACAAATATTTCAACAATTTTCGTGCATTTATTACCGTAAACCTGATACGATATGACAAAAAAAGAAAATTAACTAGGCATCGTTTTATTTCTTTTATCGTTAACGTGCATTCTTTTCTGGAGAAACTGAGTGATTTGAAGAGTGTTACAGCGTTTTAAAATTACTTCATATAAAACTTAAGCAACGCTTTTTCTAAAATACCTCATCACCACATTTTATTCAAATAAAGGAGCCTGTTTCTGTGGGAGACTTTTTGCGGGTCATGCAGGGTCGACGGAGATAATCACGGTCCTCCTGCAGGTTTAAAGATCCTTCTGCAGCCAGAATCTGCTGCTGTCATCGCTGTCTGTTGTCACACAGAGATAACCGGAGAGCGCACCGACTTTCAAAACAAGCAGCCCATGGTGAGCACGCGCCGGGCTGAAAGGGGTCCCGGTGCGATCCACGCTGAAACAGCAGGACTTCTCTTACCTGGAGTCACTTCTTTGTCATTCGCTGCGTGGTCCTGGCAAAACTTGGAAAGCGTTGCGGCCGATGATGAAGAGTTTCAGCGCCCAGACTCAGAAGAAGCGGAGTCAGATCACACAGCCTTCAACTCCCGTGCGTAAAGTAACCATCGCTGGAGCGTGGCGGGGACTCCTGGTAACTCCTCAGTTTGCGCTCCGCCGAGGCTCACAAAGTGAAGTCAAACTCTGCGGCGTCGTTGTCAGGGGTGATACTGAGCACGAGGGGCTGTCATTCGGAGGGTCTCTAATTTTAACAAAGTAATTAAAGTTATTTCCCGTCCGGCACTATGGGGAGGTTAAATGAAAGTGCGGGACAGAGCCGGGTAAGGAGGCAGAGGCAGGATAACCCCTCCTCTCTCTCCCCTCTCTCGCTCTCTCTCTCTCTCTCTCTCTCTCTCTACCTCGCTCTACATCTCGGTCCCTCTCTCTCTTTATCTATCAGCGTGTCTGTTTAACTTTAACTTAATTGTTCTTTAAAACATAAAACCTGACTTTTTTTTTCTTATCCCCTAACTCTCTGTTTGAACCTTTCCTGTGATCCCTGTCCTCTTTTCTGTAAAAGGCTTTATGGGCCTTTATGAATCTATATCATACTTGAGCGCGCGTGATCGTGGGTTCGCAAAAAACGTCATCTGCTTTTGAAAAATTAATTGCTTATATTTAACATTTTAATTGTCAAATATCAACACAAATAGAGTAAACAACGAGATTGTGTTTTTTGTTTTAATGGTGAGAAAAAAATTCGCCATGTGTAGGCTACAGTTTGGGGAATCAAATAAAACAATTTTTCTATGTAGGCTACTGTTATATTTTCTGCATTTTTATTTCGCTATTTTAAGGAGAAAAACACGTTCACGAACTTGTTAAAATAAATAGTTCAGGATCAAGAAAATCATCTAATTTCTTCCCGTACTGTCCTCTATTGCTCTCTGCAGAGTTACTGGAATCAAAAAATATTAGGGCCTAATAAATGCAGTTTGATTTGCCTATTGATGATTCTGTTGAAGAAAAATCAGCTTCTTAATTAAATTAAATAAACAGGAGAGTCGTCTTGATAATTCACACAAACGTTTAAGTGCATTTAAAGAGAAGTCAAGCCCAAACTCGTTTCCCTTTCATATATCAATGAGGACTTTAAGCGTCCTGTCAGATGTGACAGCGCCTCCGGGCTCTTTCTCGATTACGCTTGCTCTTACGCCACCTTTTGGCCGTTTTGATGCATGACATCCAATAAGGGTGCACATTACACTGCACATTTACATGATCTGATAGGGTAAGGACTTTCAGGTAATACATTACTGAATGTGATTTACTGACAGAGGGACTTAGGAAAGGTCCAGTGACATTTAGTAGGTTGTTTAAATCTATCTACAGGCCAAGTTTTTCATCTCTTGATTCTTATTTTGATCGCTTCTTTGTGTTAATATTTTGTGAAATGTCCCTTGTTAAAAAAAACCTCTCATGACTCATAGTGTATGACTCTGAGCTTAATCAGTGCAATATTATGTAGACTAATAGGCCCACAAAACAGACCATCCATTAGTGTTTTGGGCCAAAATACATAGTCAGTCTAAGTCCTGATGCCAAGCTCAGATAAAATATGATGCAGCTAAATAGTCAAATAAAAAAAACCTACGTGGGAACATGGCGGCTTTAAGATAGTGTGCTTTGTATTGACGTCATATATGATCACTACACATTACATTAAAGCAACAACTGATAACTCATTAATGCGTTTCCTGCAATCAACAGCACATTTGCTTTGATCTGCTACTGATCATCAGGTTTAAGTCAACTTGGTAAGTCCAGTATTTTTTTAAAAACACAGTTACAAAGTGCTTCACATTAACACAGATTGAGGACACTTGGACAAACACTAAACATACCAACAAAAATCACATGAACCAGCATACATTCAAACACAAACAAAAGTAAAATGCACAGACAGTCAGAATGTATCAAAATGCTGACCTATAAAAATGCGCTTTTAGCAGAATGTTTAAAAGAAACTATGCAGAATTAGTCAGAGCTGATGTTATGAGGAAGGCTAATCCAGAGTTAAGAAGCTGCCACTGCAAAAGCACGATCACTCCTGGATTTAAAATATGTATGAGGAACTGTTAAAAGGTTCTGATCAGATGTTCGCAAAGGTGGCTGAGGGGATAAGGACGCAGTGATTCTGTAATGTAAGTAGGAGACGGGCCATACAGGGCTTTGTATGTAATCAATACAATTTAGAAATTAATCCTATGAACTGAACTGGAGGCCAATGAAGGGAGACAAGTATTGGAGTGATGATCAGTGTATGTTAACAACCGCTGCTGCATTTTGTACCAATTGTAGACGTGATATTGAGGACTGAGTGATGCCGGTGACGAGAGTTTCAGTAATATAAGTGGTAGAGGTGTGTTTTCAGAGTTCAGTGTGTTTGGCTGTTAGGGATTTCATTTCCCCGATGTTTTCTAGCAGGATTGAACCAGCATAGTGATATGGCAAAGTTTAAATGTTGTTTAAAAACTTCACCAAGGTTCTTAGAGGAGGACTTGATGTTGATGGGGAGGGGTTCAATATAACGGCGGACCCCTTTTCTAAAATGATCAGGGCTGATCACAAGCACATCAGCTTCCTTCAGTTAGAGATGGAGGACATTTTGTCACATCCAGTTATAAGATTGTTGAGATGATTTGATGAAAAATACAGCTATGTGTCGTCCGCATAGCAGTGGTAGGAGGTGTTACAGGTGTAGGAGGTGTTAAGAGGAGCAGGCCTGAATAATGAGATACAAACATGATCAATTAATAATACTAATAATACTAAATAGGCTACTTAGGGCTGGGAAATGATTTTTGTTCATTCAATTGTTCCTTTATTTTTATTTATTAATTACTATTCCTATTTATATTTTTTTTACACTTTTATATTTTCACTTGTTTTTCCAGTGTTGTGTTTTAACAGCTTACTTCTTGCTCAAAGCTGACACAAGTAAATATGATTAGCCTACTGAACAAATTAAATGCAAACAAAAATCAATAAGACAAAAAAACAAAACAATTACAACCCAAATCATAGTCATGATAGAAAGCATCTGTGGGTTTACAAAGTACGTCACTGACTGAGTAGAAGGAGATGTATGTACGGTTTCTATGGGAACGGTATGGCGTCACCTGCTGGCCTTAGCTAATATTAACTCAAGGCAAAAAGCGTGACAAAATAGTAGCTTGCTTATAGCTGGCAATATGTTAACTTACAGTTTTAAAGCACCTCCCTTCTCCGCTTCTATGCCGCATCCCTCCTCCAACTTCATCCTCCTCCATTTAGCCTTTAGTTCGCTTTAACTTCTGTTGAAGTCAGAGGCTGTTGTAGTCCATAGTAAACTAGTCAGCACAAACTTCTTGTGTTAACACGGAAGATAGTGTTGTCGTAACTACAAAACTTGAAACTGCTACAGAAACTAAACGTTTATGTTGTCCTGCACAATCCGGCCATAAGGACAAACTAATCTAATGGCACAAAACACACAAAAAGAGGTCAAAGGTCATCATTTTTCTTGAAAATGTATTTTTTAATTGATTATCATTTTTGTATATAACGATACAAATATCCAAACATTCCCTCGTGAATTAAAAAAAAAAAAAAAAAAACACTTGTCAGGGCGGGCGTTCATTTAGATTTAAACTTTCCCGGTGCACTTTAACACCAACGAAGAAGAAGAGCGGAACCGGAAGTGGCGGGACAAAACATTGTTGACAAAAAAAAATCAGCTAGCCTTAGCTAGGTGGCATGTCGTTTTATTGACATTTAACTAAAGCTTCCGTTCATTATGAGTTATTCAGAAGACAGACATGGAACAAAACGACCCGCGTCTCCAAGTGAAGTGAGTCAAACATGAAACATGGACATAATCCGTGGATAAAATATGTTTTTTTTTGTCGGTTAGCCTTTCATTTGTATGTTAGCTCACGTTAGGTTTAAGGAGCGTTGTCCTGAAACTTGAAAAAGCATTTTAGAAAATAATAAAGACAAAGTTCACCCACCTACGATACGTTGTTCTTTAGATAATTTATTTCGCTAAACAGGATTGTATTTAATGTGACACAGGATAATACTTGATACAGTATAAAATGTTTTATTTGAACCAACACGTCTTGGTAATAAAAAACAGGGTTGGAGTTCACTGGAATATTACACGAGAAAAGACACAAAGTCGTAGAATAAATGAACACCTGGGCTGTCGTGGTCTCGTGTTTTCAATGTAATAATGCTCTGAATATGAACATGAATGATAACAACAATGTTTTGTCCTTGGTAGGATGGCTCCACTCCGTGGGCTGCAGCAGATCTGGGCAGCAATGAAAGGAAGCAGAAGTTTTTACGCTTGATGGGGGCCAGCAAGGTTTGTTATTTGTTATCCAGATACATTAACTTGAAGCTCACTTAAAGCAGCAATGTGTAGCACTTTCGGTTTGGTGTGCTTTGGCACCCACTGAAGGTGTCGTTGTGAAACTGCACTGTTGGAAAACACATGTGGTGCTGTTACACCTACCTACGCATTTGTTGACAAACATAGAGTCTAAAGGTGGCAATGTGAGAAGTCAAACAACCATGTCTACTGACAAGGTCACAGTAATTACCAGGTGTTGTGCAAATATGAATCTTCTAGCATCTACAGCCCGCATCGTTTTTGCATATGGAATATGTGTTTGTGTATTCAACTATAACCCGATGTGTCTACAGTCAAAGACTAAATGGCAACATTGGAGAGGGTATTTTTTTTTTTTGCTGGTTGAAGGTGATTTGTAAGGTTTCAAACTCACAAAGCTAACTTGAAGATTGACAAGGAAGGAGACAACTTTTTTTATGATGGATTTATTTATATATTTGTATGCAAAGTGCAAACCGGAGACATACATTTGGTAAAATGACTTTCTGCACCTGGTAAAGCTGCTTAACATGAGATAACAATGACAGCAAAAACAATACAGCCTAACATTATGTCACTAATATTATCTGTTATAAATAATATGTGCAGGGATGTACAACCTGCTTTCTGATTGTTTCCTTTTGTCAGGCTCCTTGTTCAGTCACTCGCTCTTTTTCTCTTCTTGACTTCATCTGTCACCGTCCTCTTTTATCGCTTAGCCTCAGTACTGTATCAAACAGTAACAAGACGGCCTAAATGACTTATTTTTAGCTGAAGGCTGGTGTGTGAACTAGTGCATTAAAGCTGTATGCACTTCTCGCGAGGTGATCTCCACCAACTGCAAAAGCTAACATAGTGCAGTGAACAGGCAACCGGGCGCTCTGTGGACATGGGAGGGACGCCATTCTCCCTGTTGAAAGCTTTTGTTCTATTAGATCTACCTAGAAAACTACTATTTCAAGTGGAATAGTAACATACGTTTGCTTTAATTGGGGGCCAATGGCCATAGCATGAAAAGATAAAGAAAACGTAAAAGCTTTGTTGTACCTGTCACTCTGACCTTAAGAGAAGTTGTAAGATCAGAATGCATCTGTTTTCCAGAAAGAACACACCGGACGCCTCGTCATTGGAGACCATAAGTCCACATCCCACCACCGAAGTGGTGAGCTTCTTTTTTTTTCGATTTTGTAAAACGCCATATCCATTGATGATAAAACTGTTAAAGAGATAATGTGTTGTAAGACATGTCCAAACTACTGTCCCTCTGTCGCATACCAATGCTGCCTCTTATTCTTAAGCCCGATGCAATTAACCCGGGTTCCCCACTACACATCCACCACACAGACCTATCCATGCATGGATAAGCCTGTCATGGCTGGGTGTGCCTGCTGTTACTGTTGTCTCCTCTGCAGGGCAGGAAGATAGGCAGATGAACGAGCAACTAGAGATGCAGTACCAACAGGGCATGGATGGGAAGCTGTCGGGCCGGAACCGGAGACACTGTGGCCTTGGTTTCAGTGAGGTAAGGGGGTAAGGAGGGCTTGAAGAGGGCAGAGAGATAGTTTAAATACTTTGAAAAGTAGACCTAGATCTTGCCAGTCATAAAAATTAGCCAGTTATTTAATTAGTAGTTGTCACTTTTTAGAACTCAAGAAATAATATGAAGCAAGGAAAGTTTATCTAAGCAGTTTTTCATATTCAAAGATGCTTAATCTGTCTTATTATAAAAAAATCATATCATTTGTGTTGATAATAACATTAAAGCTAAGTGGAGGAATGAATTAGGGATTAAATACGCCGATGATTGATGGGCAGGTACATTACAAGGGGAGAACACTTCTGCGTCTTGTGTCAGGATTAGTCTGATTCAGGTTAAAGTTGTCCACAGGATGACCTTTAGTAAAAGCAGGTTATCTTAACCGTTGTAGTTCTCCCACCAGCTAGTCTACTACACTTGTTTCGGGCTTGTCCCAGACTAAAAGAATTCTGGTGCTTCATTTGTGATATTAATTTAAGTTATAAGGATCACAATACAATCCTGCCCTCTTCTGGCAATCTTTGGAGTACCAGCCAAACGTGCATTGTGGCGCTAAAGAAAGAGACATCATTGCCTTTACCTCTTGGCGATTCAAATCATTCTTACTGCCTGGAAATCTGCAATCTCAACACCTCAGTCTTTTTTTTTCCTTTTTTATTTACACTGCAAAGACCAAATACAAGTACAGCAGAAACACAACACAATACACTTCATTTCTAATACACAACATAAATACATTTTGCCAGAGATTACAGGTAAGGTTACAAAATGTAATAGATTGCACAGGAAATCATCATCACTGCTCCTTACAGGGTTTCTGCCTTCTACTTATTAGGTTTAAATTCTTGTTCATTACATATTTGAGCTAACTTAAATTATTGTCCTCTTATTTATATATTCTTTGAGTATCCACCTAGGTGATTTTTATAAAGCCCCTGCAGGACTGAGTCTGCATGTTCCAACATTATAAGCTCTAAGAAGTCAGCCAGTTATTCAAAATAAAACAATTCAGTGTCCGTACTTTCCAAATCATAATGATCATTGTCCTTTAGAGTCAACACCACAGTCTGTGAGGCTTAAATGATCTGATGTTTTTCTAAAGGATCTGATGTTTGTCTTAAGCCTCAAACATTTTTTTAAAAAGAAACTGCAACCTTTCATTTCCTGTTTTGAACTATTTGACATATGAGAGGAACCAGAGTTGGTCCTCTATCTCTTATTGGTCTGTTCTACTGATACAGTAGATTGACAGTAATGTTGGTCCATATAGAAGTTTACTCAGTTGATCGTTTAGGCTACGTGGGTTATATTTTTCTTTTCTTCATTGTGGCTTGTTTTTCTGTCTGCCCTAAGTTGACTTAAATTTAGAAAAAGGAAATACTTTGTAGGTATCCACTGAATGAAGCCATAGCTTGATGCTCCCAAAACTCCCCTCTCACGTAATTTTCATCCAAAAAATCCACAGGACCACATGATCAAAGTTTAAACGTTTACTTCAACTAAAATAAACAAAAAAAAAACAGATACAGCTTAATCCAAAACTATACAAAAAGAGAGAGATGAGGAGAGAGGTCAAAAGACTGTGTGGCTCCATTCTCTACTAGTCTCCACTAAGCCCAATTAAGTCCACAAGCCCCTCCCCCTCCCAGAACCAATGAACAAAAATGATTACATGCATCCATACATTTAACATGATCAGCAATAAGGCTCCTACCTTCTTGATGTTTTAATCTTGTATTCCTGTGATCTTCCACCAATAAAACATGGATACAAATAATGTAGATAAAAATAGGAAGTAGTTCTCAATGTAACCACAAGGTGGTGTATGATTAATACCTAATGAAAGTAAGAGAAGGAACTAAGACGATTAAAGTCAAGTCTTAGATTAATATGCTGCTCCTTCACCTGAGCAGAACTCTTCTAGATAAGAGGAGAGGTGGAGCCATGGACAAAGCAGAATTATTGCATCCATCCCTCTGTGCTGCATGTGGGTTACTTTGACTGCCCTGTTTCCACCAGGCGGTCAGGTTCGGTTCAGTACAGTTTGGTACGGTAAACCCTGATCTTGCTTGCATTTCCACAGTCAACCGTATGCTTACACATCACTAACTCACAGCGGCGCGACATAGACAGCCAATAAATTCAACAAAGAAGAAGGATGTGGGGCGTTGGTGGCACAGTGGTTGGTGCGCGCGCCCCATGTATGGAGGCTGTAGTCCTCCAAGTGGGCGGCCCAGGCTTGAATCCAGCCTGTGGCTCCTTTCCCGCATGTCGTTCCCCTCTCTCTCTCTCTCTCCCTAATTTCCGACTCTATCCACGAACCCGACCGCTTGGTGGAAACGGGGCTCAAGTGTCCAAACACAGGCAGTCTGTTCAACACACTACTGTGCCTTTTCTTTGTGCCGTGTGCAGCTGGGATATAACGCACATGCACTGCCTTTCTTCATTTAAGTAAAACTAAAAAGATGTTTGCGCAACATGAATAAAAACACCACAACACTCACAGCCTCAAGAGACATTTACTGCTCTTCTTGAGTTAGACAGAAGTTAGTTTTTTAAACAGTTGAGTTAAAAAGGTCAAATTGTTTATTATTTATTATATTTTGGCTTGAATATTCACAAAAAACCCAAGTACATCTGTTTACTCTCTGGGGTTTTTAAGAAATTCATTTGTAAGACAGATCTTACTAATAATACACTTCCTCTTTCTTAAAGCATCCTTTTGTTCTCCTACCCACAGCCTGAGCCAGAGCCAGTTTCAATTCCCTCGCCACCAGAAGACAGTCAGACAAAAGCAACGGAAACAGAGAAGTCCACTGATAAAAAAGGACGAGCAGACTCCCGGGACAAAGGCTGCGATTCCGATCCAGAAGAACAGAGCTCGGACGAGGAGAAGTCCACCTCAGATAGCAGCGATGAAGAACAGAAACACTGACAAGAAAATGTCCTTTGTCAAGTCTGCGTAGGAGTACAAGGAAAGACATGATTTGTTTGACTGTGAGCGACCACTCATCATTCAGCAGCAGCACCCTAGGTGTGCATGTCGTCACAATGTCACATCTGCAGGGTTTGGTATTTTGAGTTTTCAGATGTTCTATCATGTTTTAGCTTGCAAACTGTCCAGGTTTGATTTTGTCCCAACATTTTAATTGTCAGTGCTTTTGCCACGACTAGTGTGGGATCGGACATGATTGCTTGCCATTCAGCATGATTGGTATTCACATTGTACATTTTGTGGTTTCTTGTTTCAAATAAAAACAAAAGGAAATGTCAGTTGTAATTGTTTGCCTGTGTGAAAACCTCAAACTAGAGTTCCCTTAAAGACAAAAATAAAGTTTCCATGCAGCGTTTGCATTCTGCAGTATGTGTCACAGGAAATGAAAGTGATGTCAACACAATTCTGTTCTGTGCAGAGGAGCTCTTTGACCTATAGTAGGATGTAAAAAAAGACTGCATGGTTTAAACGTGTATTCAAAGCTAAATCACTGCACTGAAAAAGTCATCACATACCATCATTAGTTAGATTGTTAAGTTTATTATTTCCATTTCAACCACTGCTACATTATAAACTGAAGATTTTCCCCTCGTAGAAAACCAGGTTTTTGTAACATAAATATCTTTATTTGTATTTTATCGGCCATATTGCCTTTGTTGATAGTACAGCTGAAGAGAGACAGGAAATGTTCGGAGGAGTGAGAGAGAGGGATGATGCAACAAAGGGCCTCTGTGACAATTTATATTTCTTGACCCTGTGAATAATTTGAGGAAAAATCTGCTCACATTATAAACTTCAATGGTAAATGGACTTGAGCTTGTAGGACGCTTTTTAGTCATCTGACAACTCAAAGCGCTTTGACAGCGCAGGTCACACCTACACATTCACACACTGATGGAAGAAAAGCTATGTTAAGCTAATAGTTAACAGCTAATCACATCACGTAAAATGAATCAACACAATCACAAACAAACCTCAGCTAAGAGTTCTGCTTTCAAATCCTACCTGAGTAAAAGCATTATAAACCAAAAGTTGAAGTCATAAGTTCAGGTTCTGTTATAAAATGCACCGTAGGAAATATAGTTGTATAACATATGGTACATTTTTTTCCAAGGTTCACATCAGAGTTATTTCAAAATACAAACACCAAAGAGCCATGATGTAACGGATGCAGCGCAAGTTATGTCATTCAGGGACTTCTTCATATTTAGGACTGGACTAGCAACAGTCATTTACTATTCTATGACTGAGTGGTCAGATCGGGTCCCCCTAGGGAGGTTTCCCGCTGTCATTGCAAACTGCACACTTTTTAGCCACTGCTGTGGATTCAAGTTTGTCAGCCCTGGAGGCCCTGGGGCCCCAAGAAGTTGCCCGCGTTGTAAGTTGACAAGCAGCTCCTCTGATTTAGATGATCTGTACAGTTCCACTAGGGATTTTATTATTATTTTTTTTTTTGTACAAGGGGGAATTTGCTTTGTGGCAGGAGCAACATAGTGATGCAATACACAAGACAAAACAAATGAGAACAAACAGAGGACAAAAAGACAATATTAACAGTCAAATCAAAAATTGAAAGGGTAGCCTATGTGCTTGCCCCATTTTTCCTCATAACAAGCAACCAAGTCCTTATTTTCCCCTTGTAATATCTTGAAATCAGATGTTTATGAGGACTTGTCAGGTACATTTGCATCATAAGCGTGTGCGTTTTTGTTAGATGTAGGCCTGGGGCCACGTTGTGACTCAGAACACCGAGCTGGGCACATGTCTAACACTTTAAAACAGAAAATAAACTGCGCATGTGTCGCATGACATAGAGGCTATGCCAGCAGCATCACACTGATCATTTCCCCGCCTGCTTTCGATGAACAAACACCAGACACTTGGGATCGCGGAAGTCACCAAACCATCTTCTGAACGAGGTGAGGAACAGCTGGCGTGAGCGTTTGAATGTCTTGACATTATTAGGCTACATACATACAAAGAGCATAATTCTTTATGAACGCATCTTTGTAGAACTCGTTTTGAACCAGCGAGTAAATTACATGATTAGTCATTTAAAGTGAGAGCTGACTGTAAATGTTTTGAACTAAGAGAAACTAAAACCGAACACGTAGGAGCTTGTTCTGATGAAGATGTAGCCCTCTTTAGGTTCACAAAAGCTATGTGCTGTGTGTGTTGTAGTTTCCTATGTCTCATATCTTTATGTTTTTTATTACAACTCAGACTGTGAACTTCGTGAACAGCTGTCTGCATATGGGGCTCGGGCAGGGTACATTTTTTTGATCTGCAACAAAACATACCTTAATGCAATTCATAAACGTCAAACATTTGACCCTCAATGTCACACAGACACATGCACGCGCGCGCAAACCGGTTGCTGTCTTTTTGGATGCTGTGAGCGTTTCACCTCTTTACCCACCGCATCCTTCAGTCAGTATACGTTTACAAGATGCTATGCCGAGGTCAGACTGCACAACACACACTACTCTGGAGCGGCAGACAGGGCAACATATCATATGTACTCTATCATAGAAGAATAGAGGATTTTTTTCATGCCTGTAGCCTACTTGTCGGTGCCACTTAAGTTTTGCCGTTTTGTAATTGCACCAAGCAGAATGTTTCTTGCATTGCATCACTCTAAGAAAAATGTACACAAATTTAAGTTTCCATGTAGAAGCCATTTCTGAGCTTTCCTTATCAGGTCGTCTGTCTTCACCATCCAAGTAGTAGGTGTGTGTTGATGTCCTGTTGTACGGAGACAGCCTACAGCTCAACAATAGGCTTTGACTTTAGCAGTGCTCTAATACTCTTGCCAACTGTTTCTGTTGCCTCTTTGAGTTAGTTCGTATTACTGTTATAACAAGGCGGAACTGTTGATCATATTTCACTTTCAAAATGCATCATGAAGGAAATGATGTTGGCAGGACATTTTTTACACTTTGGTCAAATAACAAAACAGTTTTTTTCTGTGCCCACAATGATTTAAGTTTAACTTTATTGATCCCCAAGGGGAGTTTCAGTTTTACACTGTTTTCTTGAAACAGGAACAGACATTAATCCTAAATGAATGAGTAAAAACAAAACATGACACTCTGTAACTTTACGGATCCTGTCAGCTATTTGACTGGTGAATAAGTCTCGTAAAATCCTTGCATAACAGTGATAAAAATTAGCCGATACCGATACTCAGTGGTTATGCTAATATCGGCCGATATTATCGGCTGGTCGATCAATCGGTCTGGTTCTACTCTACATGTAAGAGTTCTGAGTTAAACCACTGTGCAGAATCTAATCATCTTTTCCTACATCCTATTTTAGGTGTTGGCTTTAAAATGGATGCTGCTAAAGAGAGTGGAAAGTCATCCATTAGACCAGAGTTGCCAGCCTCATCCTGCCTGTCTATGAAAAGTGATGCCTCCAAAAATATCATTTTAGAGTTCAACAAGGACGCAGCTAATAGGTAGAGTTTATTCTGTGTCTTTGGCTGAGGGGATTGTAATGTTAGTATATGGATCATTCTTTGTTAAAAAGAAAAATGTGTCCACTTCTAATATCCTACTACATTTCCATGGATATTTCTTAACGCTCACTGTTTCACAAGAACATTGCATAACAACTATACTTCTATCTTTCTTTCTTACCAGACCAATAAATGTTGAGAAATCAAACTTACCAACCTCATCCTGCCTGTCTTTGAAAAGTGATGCCTCAAAAAACATAATTTATGAGTTCAACAAGGACGCAGCTAATAGGTAGAGTTTATTCTGGGTCATTGGCTATGGGGATTGAAATGTTGGTATGCAGAATTTTTTGTTGAAAGAGAAATTTGTCCATTTGTCCAACTCTAATTCTATCTTTCTTTCTTATCAGACCAATAAATGTTGAGATATCAAACTTGCTAGCCTCATCCTGCCTGTCTTTGAAAAGTGATGCCTCCATAAATATCTATAATGATTTCACCAAAGAAGCACCTGGAAGGTACACAAAGTCTATTCTCGATTGATGTTGTTCTGTCTGCTTCTCTTATTTAGCCATGTATTTTAATCAATCAAATGTATTTCAGTTTCCACTGTCTGCTGTTTTGGTAAAAATTTGATGTTTCCAAATATTCTTTATGAATAGAGGGACATGTACGGTGACTGACAAGGGCAACCTACCAGCACCAGCCAAAATAATTTACATAAGGAGAAAACAAAATGCAAATTCAGACACACTGCAAATTTAAAAAACACATGAAAATGACCCAAATAAATGCAACAAAGGAAACGCGCTGCATTGACAATTGCATTGACAGCAAAAGTGCTGCAAATACATAAATGATTCACAGAAGGGCAGGCAATGTTTGGGTGACTCTTGATTTCTTGGGGTCACGATTCGATTCAGAATCTCAATTCAAAACTATTCTTGATTCATGATTCAAAGTCTATTTTTGAAGTAGTACATACTTCAGGATCTACTCCAGTCATCTGTGAGACTGGATGACTTTCTTTCTGTTCCATTTGGTGTTCTACTGAGTTAAAGAGCTAGCCTTATCACTTAGCAGTGAGTGACTGATTAGCCAAATAAATCGAGTCATAAACACACAAATGAATTAACAACTACAGAAACAAAAGCTGCAAATCCAGTTTTGACAAATTGAAGTGCTTGAGGCCTGTAGGGGTGCTAAATGTTCAGACTGAACTGTAAGAAGTATCCACAAATCGTCTCCATGACAACGTGCAGACAAGATGAAACAGCTCCTTCTTTATGATCAAAAGATCAAAGATCTTTTTTGAAAACTTGACAGCTGTTGCTGCTTTCTGTTTGTATGCAAAGCCATCACAACGCAATGACAGGTTCACTACAGCTTTGTGTAGCCATGCACACAATACCAACTCAACAATAACACTATTAGTTCTGATAATAAAATAATCTGTATCTGCATCTCTAAACATAAAGTATATATACTTTTATTATTTGTCTGAAGAGGCCAACATGACTGTCCAGAATTGGTGGGCATGGATGGAATTGCCATATTTAAGGTAACCATGTCTCTAATGTCTTTACTGAAAACAAATTGCTATGATGAACTACCTGGTTCTTGTGTACATAGTGTAGTCGTTAAGTTACAGATATATCTCTTAAATTTGAACCATTACTCATTCTACTTCTTTTTATCGCAGATGGTCGAAGAACACGCCCAGAACGCTTTGCTGTGTGAGATAAAAAGGTTTAAAGAGATGCTCTTTCCACATCTTACACAATCTTTTGGAAGCGACAAGCCAAATCAAGACTGTTCGAACACTGAAGATACAAATGAAGACACCAGTGCCAGTGAGGGGGCTCTGAAGATAACACTACACGCCTTGAAGAAAATAGGCCACAAAGCGCTGGCCGACCAACTCGAGAAAAGTAAGTACCACCAGAAGAAACATGAATGTATTAAGTGTTTTATCCAAAGATCGATGAGGGAAGGACTTGAGCACGTATGAATCCTTGTTGTAACTTCTTATGCCAAATTAAACTTCTAGACCACACAAACACTTGAGGTACCAATCTTGAAATGTGTGCATCAAAATGATTTCTTACTTTATGTTCCCTCTCTGAAATTAGACGTCTATGGGGAGCTCGATGTATGTCAGCGCAAACTCAGACGCAAACTGAAAAAGTTTGAATATATTTATGAGGGAGTGGCCCAGCACGGGAACCAGACACTTCTCAACAAGGTGTACACTGAGCTCTACATCACAGAGGGAGTCTGTGAGAGTGTTAATAATGAACATGAGGTCAGGCAGATTGAGGCTGCGACCAGGAGACGGGTAACAGAAGATAGACCGATCAAATGTGAAGACATCTTTAAGCCCCTGCTTGGACAAGACACATTCATCAGAATTGTGATGACTAAAGGCATCGCTGGCATTGGAAAAACAATCTCAGTACAGAAGTTTAACCTTGAGTGGGCCGAGGGAAGAGTCAACCAGGATATCCAACTCCTGCTGAATCTTCCATTCCGGGAGCTCAATCTGATGACGGAGAGACACTACACACTGACGCAACTTCTTCATCATTTTCTGGATGAGGCAAGAGAATCAGGAATATCAAATTTTGGCAAATATAAACTTGTACTGATATTTGATGGGTTGGATGAGTGTCGGCTTCCTCTGGACTTCGACCACAACGAGCCCTGCAGCAGTGTCTCAGAGCCAACTTCAGTGGATGTCCTACTGACAAATCTCATCAAGGGGAACCTGCTGCCTTCTGCACACATCTGGATCACCTCCAGGCCTGCTGCTGCAAATCGCATTCCAGCTGATCTTGTGAACCGTGTGACGGAGATACGTGGCTTCAACAACCTCCAGAAGGAAGAGTACTTCAGGAAGAAAATCTCTAATCAAGACATGGCCAGTAGAGTCATCTCACACGTGAAGTCAATCAGGAGCCTCCATATCATGTGCCACATACCAGTCTTCAGTTGGATATCTGCCACCGTCCTGCAGAATATTTTAGGTGAAACAGAAAGCCTGAAAGTGGAGGAGGATGGGAAAAAAAGGGACATGCCTGAGACCCTGACACAAATGTACACACATTTCCTGGTGTACAACTCAATGATCCGATCCAGGAAGTATTCATCTGAGTCCCATGGCAAAATGGACGATGAGATGATCTTGAAGCTTGGAAAACTGGCCTTTGAGCACCTGATGAAAGGCAACATGATCTTCTACGAGAATGAACTGAATGAGTACAACATCAATGCGAATGATGCTGCAATACATTCAGGAGTGTTCACACAGATCTCCGAGAAGGATCTTGGACTTCATCCGGCGAGAGTGTATTGCTTTGTGCATCTCAGCATACAGGAGTTTTTTGCTGCAATGTATGTTTTCTACACATTCGTCTGCTTCGACCAGAACTTGCTGGAGCCTCAAGAAACAACCACAGTCCCAGAGTCTCCCAACGACGTGACCAACCTTCTCCAGAGTGCAGTGGACAGAGCCTTGCAGAGCGACAATGGACATCTGGATCTGTTTCTTCGCTTCCTTCTTGGCCTATCACAGCCAACCAATCAGACTTTGTTGAAGAGCATCCTGACCACAATGGTGAGCAACTCGCCAAGCAATGATGTTATTGTTGACTACATCAAGGTGAAGATTTGGCAAAATCCATCCCCAGAAAGATGCATCAATCTCTTCCACTGCCTCAGTGAGTTGAATGATCAGTCTCTATTGGAGGAAATCCAGCACTTCCTGAACTCTGGTAGTTTGTCAGAGACAACTCTGTCACCTTCCCAATGGTCTGCTCTGGTCTTCATGTTGCTGACTTCAAAGGAAGAGTTGGATAAGTTTGACCTGAGGGAATATTCACGATCAGAGGAAGGTCTTCTGTGGCTTTTACCAGTGATCAAAGAATCCAGAGTAGCCTTGTGAGTAGAGAACCTTTTCCTCTGTGCCTTTCATAATAGTTATATGATGTTATTTCTTTATTTAGGATACTTTTTCTTATGTTCAACTATTGAACAATAAAGAGAAGTGGATCTGATAGTTGGTCCAGATTTGAGGTCATATCATGCAGTGATGTCTTTTTTTGTTGTTTTCATTTGATTTCAATTTCAAAGTGGAGACTAGCACAAGTCGATTTATACACTTATTCTGAATATGGCGGCTCCACAGAGGAGGCTGGATCTCTTCTATGTGATTGTCCGATTCCTTGATGTCCTCACTCAAAATCAAACATTTAGCATATTCAGCTAACATATGACCTAATGTTCTTTTTATTTTGAAGGCTTAAAGAATGCAACCTCACAGACAAATGCTGCAAAGCCCTCGGAGAGTTGCTAAGCGATTCATGTCTGAAAGAGCTGGATCTGAGTGATAACGATCTTCAAGATTCAGGATTAGAAATGTTGTCTGCTGGGCTGGCAAGTCCAACATGTCATCTGGAAAAACTGAGGTTCGTGACAAGTGCTTCATCAGGCTTTGTATTTTATAATGCAGGTGAAACCACCTATCGTAAAGCAAGGCTCAGTCTTGTGATTTAAAAAAAATCTTTTATCTTTCCTTCAGGCTGCCTTTTTGTGGAATAACAGAGGTTGGTTGTGGCTTTTTGGCTAGAGCTCTGAGGTCCAACCCAAACCATCTGAAGGAACTGGATCTGAGTTACAACTACCCAGCGCAGCTAGGGATGGAGCTCTTGTCCTCTGTGCAGCAAGACATAAAACACCTCACCATCAGGTAGAGCTTTACAGCTTTTTGTACTTCATGGTATCAAGACTATCTCTGCACACAGCTTCATAATCTATACGTACAGAGACCGACCCAACTGGCCCAGTTGGTGTGGATATTTCTTAAAGACACACCATTATGTGGTCAATGGGCATGCTATAGCTGGTTTGCTTTTCCCCTAATTCCAAAGAAGGATTAGACCTACTGCCGATTCAGAATTTCTGTTTGTTATTAGCATGTCATAAAGAGAAATCCACATTAAATGCATGAGGGGGTTCAGACCCCTTACACATGGAATTTAACTATGTTGAGTGATATTCTCTTTACCTAGGGCACCAAGGTTTCAATGGATCTGTGACTTAGGTTGTTGTTATGTAAGGAACTTGGCACACTTTCCACATTAAATGTCATTGTTTGATTTTTCCTAGCTTGACCGGCAATGCAGAGTGCTACTTGAAATCATCCCTGAAGAAATGTAAGTTTCTTTACACACTAATCAATGAGCATTTCCACACAGGCAGACAAGGTGTTCAACCTTAAATACAATGAGATAGTAATATTATTTCAGTTAAACAACATTGTTTGATTTTCTTGTTACCATTTTTTTTTCTTGTCAGATTCATCCCAGCTTACAATGGATGTCAATACTGCCCACTCTCACCTGTCTTTTTCTGAAGACAAGCTAAGAATGACTCGAATGGCAACAGCACAGCCGTATCCTGACAGTCCAGAGCGATTTACAGACTGGGGACAAGTTATTTGTAAAGAGGGCTTGTCTGCCCGTTGCTACTGGGAAGTGGAGTGGACTGGTGAACGCACAGGTATCGGAGTGGCTTATAAAGGAATCAGCAGGAAAGCAAAAGGTAACGAGTCAGTCCTTGGCTACAACAAGCAGTCCTGGAGTCTGCGCTACTGTCATGGTAAATACACTGCCTGGTACAATAGGGATGATGCGCCCATATCTGTCCCCTACTTCAACTCCAAAAGAGTTGGAGTGTTCTTGGACTGGTCAGCTGGAAGTCTGTCCTTCTACGCTGTATCATCAAACACCATGACTCACCTGCATACGTTCCACGTTCAATTCTCTGAGCCATTGTATCCTGGCTTCAGGTTAGGACTTGCAGATACTTCTTTAAATCTGTGCCAGCAATAATACCTTTAAATTCTGTTAAAGATGCACATAGCATAAGTCAAGGATTAGAAGTATGCTAACCCTAGAAGGATTTCAGATTTGTTGTTTGAACATGCATTTTCCATCTTCATGCAAGATCAACTCCTAGTAACTAAGTATTACTACGAAGCAACTCACACTGGGTGATTTTATCAATAGTTTGTTGAAAACATCTGACAAAAGAAGTCACGTTTAAAGAAAGAATTTGCAAAAATGTTAAACATGAATATAGCAGAAATCAAGTCTATCCTCTGTAAATGTCTCGCTGAGTCATGACTGTCTACAATGAGTGAGAAGAAAGAGTCCCGCTTGCTGTGTTGTTGTCGAGCCCTGTTTACATCATGTTGACTTGGACGGGACGGCCAGCTCCTCCCCTTGAGTATAAAAGTTGTTTTAGTCAAGGAATAGAGAAAAGAAGAAGAACATACTCACTGCTTATTTGAATGTCACTTTTGCATTTTTAGATTACGGTCATTCCGTGTAAATTTACATGCAATGGGAAACTAAAAGCTAACTAAAGTGAGCTAACATTAGCCTGCTAACACAACGATGCAGGCCACAGGCTGTTGCAGCTCAAGCAAAGGACAATTGCGCTGGGCTCATTCATGAGAATGTGAGGGGAGGGGGGTTGGAGGTGTGTCGCTGAGGGAAAGCGGAGGCTTCAGTATGCGAAGGTGCGGCAGCTAGCAATCACCAAGCTAGCTGTTTGCACTTAGCTAACATCTTTGCGCTGGAAACTCCTCTGGAATATCTATACGGCTGTGTTCGATAAGTCACTTCATTCAAGTAAAAAACACATTTCAGACATATATACACTCATATATGAGTATCATTGAGTTATACTGTATTTACTGTAATCTTAAAGAGCCCATATTATGCCCTTTTTGGGGTTCGTATATTTAATCTATGTACCTACTAAAGTATGTTCACAATAGCTAAAGTTAGAAAAAAGTGTCTGTTGTCACTTACTACCGCTCCATGCACCGGCTCGCTTCTGACTCTCTCTCTAAGGCTCTGAAGTGCCCACGTTCAGAGTCCCCACGTGTGCCAAGTCTGATCTGATTGGTCGGCCTGTCGGCTCTGCCGTAATTGGTCAGTCGCTCAGCCACTCTGGCTCCGAGGGCCGGGGAGCAAAAACATAAGCACCTTAGCACTACTGTGCTACCGCAGGCTAAGGCATGTCGTGGGCGTGCTACAGAAGTTAACGGGCGTGCAACATGAGCTGCTGGGCTTGCCACAACGAGCCAATGGGCTTAGATCAGTGATATCACACTGACAATGACGTCGGACTGACAAATTTTTATCGAGGGGGGCTGAACCGAGTGTTACGTGCAGCTAACAGGAGGACGTAGGAGAAGCCGCGTTTCCGCAGACTTTGAATTTTTGCAAATAGATGTGCCTAAACATGCACATGGAAAACACACTAAAGAGCATATAAAACCAGAAAAAGCATAATATGGGACCTTTAAACATGCATCATATGTCCGTATCTTATATGTCTTCATATTTCTTTTAATGTTTGTTCAGGTTTAAAGCTTTAAGGCTTTTATTAAATGCCACTTAATTGATCAGGAGTTTGGGTTAAAAGTTATAAATAAAGGCACTTAGGTGGATCTTGTCATAAGTGTTTTGTTTTAAACATTTGTATTTATTTATTTTACTTACAAAATACAAGGCACTTAAAGAAAGCATGAAAGCAACTGTGTAGGGGCCTAAAAATGGCTTCTATCAAAACCACTACCAGAAGACAAATAAAGTTAATAAAGAACCACTAAAACTAAATTGATATTAGACATCACATATCAAGTGCAGGCATTTAGTAGAATTTTTTTCTGAACAAAGAAACAGTGTATTGTACTTTGTGTAATTTTGAGAATTTTTGTCATGTGAAAATAATGTTCTTTAATTACATCTAAAAAAAAAACCGCTCACTCTCAGTAACTTATAAGGGTGCTAAACAAGGCCGTGTCCAGACTTTGTGGCCCAGCTGGGACAGTACTAACTTGTGCAGGGATGGCCTGAATCAACTTTTAAGTAACACAAGATAATGGCAAAATACACATCTTCTAAGCTTATTTCTTAGAAGAAGTAAAAAATAAAAGTATATCCAAATTCACAATTTTAAAGTCAAACATTGGCACACTGAAAACTATGAGCTGCCTTTTGCAACACAGCCTGAATGATGGATTTAACACAAGTGCCACATCTGGCAAGGCAAATGACCAATTGGAGTGCCACGGGGGCTGACCAATAAGATTTCAAGGGGGGCCAATGCCACCCCTGGCCACCTCTCTGGAAATGCCCCTGGTGCTGAATCCTCAACCAAAAAAAATATCAAAGGTTTTTTTCAGGACAGCACACCAAAATCTTATTTTTCCACTTTTTTATTTATTTTTAAATAATGCCCTACAGCTTATTGAGAACAATTATTTATTTATTTAATAATTATTTGTCACAATGAGTATGAAGTGTGTAACTGACCACCTTATTTACAGTCTAAGATAATATGCGATACATGTACCTACAATGACACAAATGATTGAATGCATGCACTTTAAGATATATAGCATGGGATAATTTTGTTAGTTCATATGAAGTCTATGACAAAAATCTGTTGAACATAAATGTACAAGTATGAGAAACATGTATTTTACTAAATGGACCAAACATTTATAGGGAACACACACAAAAATAATAAAAGTTGTTTATCTAATTACATGTTCTGCCTTTTTATTATCATTCATATTTGTCATTTGGGGCAGCTGTGGCTCAGTTGGTAGAGTTGTTGTCTCTCAACCGGAAGGTCGAAGGTTCAGAAATACAAATTTGACTTTTTATCTCATAATTTTGAATGAAATGAGCCCCCCTGAGTTTCCCGGTAGACATTACTCCTCTGTAGTGAGAATAAAAATGGCGGACCTGATCAAAAGTTTTGTTCGATTCTGGGGGTGGAGTCCATGGGTGGAGATATCATTTTTAACCAGAATCCCACTGTGACATCACAAGGAGAGCACATTTGAAACAGAGTATTTTTCTCTGTGTTGTAAGACTTATGCAGACCCCAAACAAAGGACTGGATGGATTTATATCACATTTTGTGGGTCTGTAGATACTCAGGTTACCCAAATATATGTTCAGAAACACTGTAGAAGTGGCGTTTTCATAATATATCCCCTTTAAAATGACTGACAGATATTCTGTAACATCATATGAAAGGTAATTCATCCTTTGGCAGACAGCTATTTTCCATATGAGTGTAAACGTATGAGAAAGGTGTATTTACATTAAACATTAAAATGAAACAGAAACAAATATTGAACATTTAATCAAATATTTATTTGTTATGACGACTTCACCGTTTTCATGTTTTTTTTAAATTATAAATCGTATTAAAGTGTTCTGTATTTGTGTTGATTGACAGGAGGTGGTCATTGTGTGACAGAGTTAAGAAAGAAAGAGTAGAAGCTGAACAAACAGCTCAACTAAACTCAAGATAAACAGTGTCAATAAATAATAAAGGTTCATGTCAAAACATTCCTACTACAGTGTTAGCACTTTGGTTTTTGGCTTTCATCTCATTTCTTGTATAAACTTGTAAAAATACAGACCAAACAGCAAAGCCGATCATCTCAGTTTAAAAAACAAATAATTCAGTTGTGTTATAAATTATGGTTACTTAGTTTTTGTGGTGTAAGTGTAGAAGCAAGAAAACTCGATTCTTATTCCAAACTCTGAATCACAACTCTTATAAAATGTGTCTAAAAAGAGTGATTGGTTACAGGTGAATCAGTTAGTTGCACACAGATCCTTCTCCCTCTGGAAGATCCTCATCTGTTGTGTTGTGTTGCTCGTTCCTGCAGGTCAGTGCTCTGCAGATGCTCTGGCTGAACACAAGGAAAAATGTAATCAGTATTGTCAGGACATCAGAAGTGCTCTCACTTCTTTAACTTGCATCAGAGGTTCTTATGCAGATCAAACAAGAAGAGGTTTTCGAAGATTTCACATAGAATAAGGGTTCCCAAACTTTTTAGCCTGTGACCCCTAAAATAAGGTGCTAGAGACTGGAAACCCACACTGTCCATGGAGGGGGTTAAAACATTTACTGTTGGTCACAGCCGGGCAGACTAACAGGCTACATTTTTTTTTGTCATTTATTGTAACAAGGAAAAGACAATTAATCTTTTTACCTACTTTGTTTGTATATATTTTCACAAAAAGTAGTAAAATGTGCAGTTTTAAGTCATTTTATGTTTTTGAAAGGAATCTCGCAACCCCCTCTCTCAGTGCCTTGTGACCCCCCCAGAGGGTCTCGACCCCCACTTTGAGAACCACTGACAGCTGTGTCACAACTTAGACAGAACACTGAGCCGCCTTTGTGGGCCAAAAAATAAAAAATATGAACAATGAGTTCAACCTAATTCTGGTATTGACTAGCAAGGGCGCGGACCTTTAATAATTTAGTCGACCAATCGCACATCTCTAATTTTAAATCAACATAAAAAAGGAAATTCAGCCTTAAATTCTGTAGACATAAAAAACTACAGTCCTGAGAAATGTGGGCGCCTCATGTACAACAGTGGAATAGTATAGTATCCATTAGGCTGGATATTTCCCACAACCCCAGGATACGATATATATCATGATATAGGATTCACTACAACAGCTGTTCTTTATTGTTGAGAATAAGAACAGAGACGTATTAAGGATCCTACGACTTCAAACACTTAAATTCAGGTCCTCAGAGATCCTAGAAATACATTAATATATTTGAATCCCAGAGCTATGGTTATGGTGTTATTGTGAACACCAATTGTCTTTTAAAACTGTCACCACAGCTTTGCAGCCACATCAATTCTGTAACATCTGCATCGATATGTGTTTGCAAGGAGCACATGACGATATATTGCCATATGGATTTTTTGAGCACAGCCCTAATATACATAATAATAAAATCTACAAACATGACCGTCATTAGTCCTGAAAGAGACCATTGTTATATTTAAGAAAGAAAGCACACAACTCGCACCAAACACCACACCTTCACAAAGCAGCCCTTCACGATACAAGAGCGACACATACCAAAACAACGGCTGAAAGAAACCAAAGATCTTTGGCCAGGAAATCCCCCCAAACAAAGAAGCCAAGACTGAGCACAGATTGAATTCAAGGCCTCGCTACAAATATGGAGGAAAATGCAAAACCAAACTACAAAATGTTCAGTCAAATGTTAGAAGATGATTTTCTTTTATCAGAGAATGTTTTATAGTCAGGCTTGAGCCCCGTGTCCACCAAGCTTTTTTTTTTTTCTGAGGGTCGGATTTTCAGTTGTTTTCAATGAGGAGAGAGCGCACGCAGCAGCAGGCTAAGAAAAGCCCAGTGCCCAGCTTTTTTTTCTGAGCACTCTGCCTTCTTTGTGTGCCGCCTCAGGATCATATCTTGTACCCATGTCCTTTTTTCTTTTCTTTTTTTTTTTAAATGTGTCTGATCGGGAATAATAAAAGATCTAAAATAAAAAACCTTACAGTAAAAGGTTACAGACAGATGTGCAATGCTAGGTGGACACAGGGTCTTAGTCTTTAATTTTTTTTGTTCCAACCTCAGATTTTGTCTCGTTATGAAAATGAAAGGAAACTAAATCTTCTCAGGTTCATTCAGGGCACATTTCTTAGGGGTTAGGAGAGTTCGCTTTGTCACCAATCTGTGCACACTCCATGGCCAGAACATTTTATACAGAGACACACATCACCGGGAACACAATGACGCACACATCCAACGAGGGAAATGGACATTGTACCTGGATCAGAATATCGCCGCAATTCTCCAGCCCCTCAGTCTGCACACCGGGGACACACACAATATTTGGTTTGTAACTAGAGTCACTGTGTGTGTGTTTGTTTGTTAGTGTTTGTGAGATCTGATGGAAGTACAGTTTAAGTTTCAAGTTTAAGAGATAGTGACAACATTTAGGTTGGTGGTCTCTAATTGGCTGTTTGCAGGATTACTTGCTTTAACTATGAAGGTTAGGTTAACCATAATGAGTGTTGAAAAACTGATATTAAAGCAAACAGCTGGAGGATGCATAGTGTTGACAATGGTGGGTGAGTGCACTGACCTGCAACCAGTTTGCTTTTGCGTGACGCCTCAGAGGCCAGAACCTGAGACACGTTCCTGATCCTCTCCTGCTGCTGCAGAGCCGAGTCCAGCTCACTGAAGTCCAGCGGTGCAGACGGCTGAATGTTCTGAACACTGTCGACACAAACACTCAGGACAATAAACCAAGGGACTCATGACAAGGTATTTGATGAAGAACCTGCCCTGGGTTGTCACATAGCTAGAGGAGGTACTAATCACTGAGCTTTACAATCCTTCAGTGGTAACTTGGTGACAGTTTTTATTTTATTGATTTATTTTTGGGGCTTGTTTTGCCTTATAAGGAGGGTGGACAAAGTCAGAAACCGGGGAGAGTGAGTGGGGAAAGACATGCCAGAAAGGACATTTTGCATAATATGTGACCTTGAATATTTAACTCCAAGCATCTTCCTTGTGCATAGTGATTCAGCCCAAGAGATAACGTAAGCACCATAATCAACAGCAGTGTCAACCCAACGATTTGAGGTCAGTCTACCTGGATTTGGTCAGCAGGGTCTTGATGCGCTCGGCCCGGTGCGAGCGTTCCTCCAGCTCCTCCGGACTCAGAGGCTCTTCAGAGTCAGACTCGATGTAGCGCTCTGGGATTACAACTTTCTGAGGTTTGGACAGCTGCATGTTGGACAGACAGGTGGTCAGTCTTATAATCCATTAGTTTAAGGACAGCCCTGTTTACTACATGATACACAAAAACTAATGTTCGCTAGTTTTTTCAGTGTTTCTGAAAGTTTCAAGAAAACTACCAACCCTACCTTTAATGCTACATTTATTCACGGGAGCTTTGAACTTCTAGAATCTCTAAAAATGTAAACCTGTCCTTGATGTAGTTCCCTGCCTCTTTTCTCGCTCAGATGTGTGTCTACCTCTCGGCTGATGTCCAGGTTATATTCGAAAGGCTCCACGTCGACCTCTCGTATGTGCGCCTTCACCGTCACCCACTCCTCTGATTGGATCTTTTCTCTGTCTTTCACTTGATTCCACCCTTCATCACTTTGACCCTCTGCAACAGGTCGTTCCACCTGCCAATCAAACACCTGGAGAGGGCAGGAGGCAGGATTACACGGCTGGCTGGGTGACTTTGAAACAGATTTTCACAGAACATTTGAAGATGTGAGCCTTTCAATACATTGAAATACATTATGAAGGGTTTGGGATTTTTTAAAATGATTATAAAACTGATTCAGAGCCGTTGAGATTGACACAGATGAAACACATTTCTATACATATCTCTGCCTGTGTCTTTTATTTAATACTTAGGTCTGATTTCTGTGGATATCTGCATATTTACTTTATTTTAACAAAAAGACTTGAAAGTTTCACATGTGTGTATTTAAGAGCAGAGATAATTATCTTATCAGTTAATTAACTGGGATTAAATTATTTTGCAGCATATTTTATCACTGATTTACTCAAAATTCAAATCTTTTAAAATTTGAACATGTGTTTATTGGTCCCGTCTTCCGTGATGGTAAATTTAAATCTTTGGATTCTTCACTTTTTATCAGCGATAGAACTGACACATGCAGAGCTTTTACTTCTTCTGGACAAATATGTGAGCAAGAGATTATTTAAAAAAAAAAAAAAAAATCTGCAGGTAAATGGATGACATGAAAGAGAATTGGGAGTTGTAGCCCTAGTTTCTTTTAAATGTCATTAAAGGTTAATAGAAAGTCCAGAGGTAGGGGCTCAGTTACGATCTCTTTGAGGGTAAAAGCACCAGTGAGGAAATCATGAAAATAACTGATATTAGCAGAGTTATAAAATGAAAAAGACCAAACTATTGTCGTGGTAGATTTTTCCCCAAGGAGTTTGATTGATGTCTTTGAATGATGATGCTGTGGTTAAACATATTGAGTCTCTGCAGTGAGTCGTGTCTCAGCTAGAGGGAGACAAATGTCGAGTTTTTAAAAATCTCTGCAATGAGGAATAACTACAGGTTAAATTTTCCACACAGGAATACCACATAGAATTCCCAAGGACTAAGAGTTTGTGTTTCTGGAAGTTGTAATTGCACACTACACTAGATATTCTGCTCCCCCATATACCAACACATTCTCATCTATAAAAACAGTCTGACTCTTATTCTCAGCCTTGTACTTGTGTCTATGTGCACATGGTCTGTTTCCAACACAGAGAACTCCCAGGGCTATAAGTCTGTGTGTCATGAAGTTGTAATTACACACTTAGGTTGTCAGATCTTTTTGAAACTTTGATATAATTCTAGGAAAAAGTCCTAATCCCCTGATAGTCAGCATTTTTTTGTTTTAAATTACCAAAACATTGCATGCAAACTCCCACACAACGTATAAGTTGCACATATACATTGGCAATGTGTCTCCTCTGCTGTCACCTCCTCTGCTCTGTCTGAAGAGACATAAATGTAACTTTTGGATCTTTATTTGCCGACCTGTGAATCTGACCACAGCTGCTCTCTCTATCTCTTTTTTTTGGTTAAAATTGTGAGTGAAGATCTACATTTTTTAAGCTTTGATACTTTGATAATAACTATACTTGTGAACATTAAAATAAGAGTGATTGTATCATTTTAAAACATGTGGTATCAGATGTAAGAAAGTATAAAAAACTTTAACACAAAACACATCCTTCTCCCCTTTAAACACTTTCTTATTTGCAAAATAATTGGACTCCTATTCTGGAACAAGTAGTTATGTCCATGAGCATGTGGTGAGTGTGCATGTGTGGTACTTGTTGTGAGTAATCATCCAAGAAGCATCAAAGCAGTGCATGCATCCACTCCCCTCCACATCCTGCAGCAGCGTCTGATCTGTCGCTGTGTTCACATGCTCTGAGAAAACATCCCATGCCTTGTTGTGCTCAGGAGAATCAGACACACACAGAGGGAAAGAGAGGAAGAAACCATGCAGACAAAAACAGATTCAAACCCAAACTCCCCCCACCACCACCACACCAGATTAGGAAGAACACAGCAAAGAGGAGGTTCAGAAGCAAGAAACTCTTTATTGTCGAGTGCAAATCTCTACATGATAGAAAAGAAAAGGGGAAAGAGTTGGTTGTTGCTTCTCTAATGACACAGAATTAGGTTGTGATTCGCAGTTTCACTTCTCTAAGATCTCTACTATATTTCTACTCTTCAACTGAGCAACCTCCTGGAACTATTTTCTTTTTTGATCTCATATATCGTACGGAGCTCTGGAAGGGTAAAAAAAAAGGATTATGGCAAAAAAGCTTTCAACATCAATACTTGTCTGAAAAACAAGGAGTGGACAGCGGAGCCGTGAAAAACCACTTCACCTTTCATCAAATATTGCAACAGTACGGCCCCTTATTGTCCTTTCCTCACCGAGTCCTCATGACAAAGATGTCCACTCCTTGTTCACTCTTGTTTCTTATTGCATTTTAGCCTGTCTCGTGTATTTAGGATGCATAAAACAGCACAGCATAGGCCACTTTAAAAAGCACTCCCATGAGTACTGATTCTCTTCCCGCCTTCAATTGTGGCATTGCAAAAAAATCCACCACTGTCAAACCATAAAAAATAACCTTGTAGCCTGTACAAGAAAAGGCTGTTTTAATGAGGATGTTAATTCAAATATAAAACGGTGTAAACACGTTGGATGCTGGCGGAGTAGAGAAAATAAAATATGCTCTCGTGTTTATGGTTATTATGCATTAAAAAGATGTAAAAAGAAGAGGATTACAGACTATGTATTGCTCACTGTTAAGGGGGATGTTTGATTGCAAGGGGTTCTGGGAAATGCAGTGTGATTACAGGCAGATCTCACAGCAGATTTGAGTGTTAGTCTGTAATCAATATGTTGTTCGCTTTGAGTCGTCACAAGACTAGAAAAGCGCTACACAAGCTCAAGTCCACTTGCCATGTATGCGTAAAGTTATGTTAATGGAAGACTCTGACAGTTTGAATTTTATTTCATATCTTATTTTTTTGCCCAGTTAGCATTGTTAGCATGACCATTATGGGCACCAAACAGACTGTATAAAAAGATGGACGATGAGACAACTCCCCAAAAGTGAAGCAAAAAGATTTGGAGCTCCCCCTACTGACTTGCTGCAGTATAGGTCATAAGCTCCACCCTCTCCATTGGTCGAACTATTCAATTAAAAGAAATGTTAAATAAGTGCTTCTCAAACATGGTTTATGTATGTAAAGTTTGTTCTTATTATGCTGATTTTTGTCCAAGTTCTTATTTTTCAAAGTTTAGTTTTAATTATCTATTTGTTGCAGTAGAAAGGATAGACTCCATGATTGACATTTCTGTTGACAAATGAGGCTCCAGCGGGGGAGGGGGGTGTTAGCAACCAGATGAGCAGAGTGGAGGAGGAAGAGCAGAAGGAACGTAACAAACACTAACACGAGAGTCATTAAACTTTCCATAACCGTGAGTGTCTGCTTCGAACCAACGTGAGAATCTGTTCTGCTGTGGACTGTTCACACCAGAGGCATTTCTTTATGTATTATATGAATGAATGTATACGTTTGTTTTGTTATCAGAAGGAGTGGGACGTCAACACGGCTGCTCCACCAGCTGATCCCTACTGCACAGACTCTGGCTTTAAAGCCTTGTTTCCACCAAGCAGTCCAGTTCAGTTCAGTCCAGTTTGGTCCAGTTTGGTCTAGTTTGGTACAGTGTGGTACGGTAAACCCTGATCTTGCTTGCATTTCCACAGTCAACCGTACCCTGATTGGGTAGGCTGGATGGCAACAGCTGCGTCAGCTATGTTAGCGTGACATCATAGCAGCACAACACAGTGTAGCCCGCCAATAATTCGACAAAGAAGAATGCGACACAGTGAACCAGGGGAAACAATGGAGGATGTCCAGCAGGAGCCTTATTTGTCAACAGAGCTTTCAATCTGATATTGACTGATATTATCGAAAAAAAAACAAAAACAGCCTTGAGATCACTCTCTCAAAATCCACTGGACTGGATTTAAACATGGCACGTTTTGTGTTTGTCCTTTATTACTGCTGTCGCATGGTAAGTGACGATGCTTTCGACCAAGGAGCGGACTGTAGTGTGCCTAGCTCCACCCCAACAGAAGGGTAGAAAACATGGTATGGATCGGTTATTTTGGTTATTCCCAACTTCTGAAAGTCGGAAAGCCAATAAATGTCTACAGAACCGAACCATACGGACCGCTTGGCAGAAACAGGGCTTAAATAGGCATTTTGTCAGAACTAATCACGTGTATTTTGGCTTCATTTTTGTACAACAGGGGGAGGTTGAGACCAGGCGTCCATCTTTATATACAGTCAAAGTATTCAAAGTCAAAGTATTCCTTCCCGAGGTTAAAGCAGCAGTGTTTCTACATCCTCCCGTCTAAATTCTGCTTTCTCACAGAAAAGCAACCTGAACGCTAGCTCTCGCATCACTTCTATGATTCTGAGGTGGAGATGCACACTTGAAACATGATTCATCACGATGCTGATTAAGGAGGTAAAAGGCAAAAAGATCGTCAGCAAAACAAGGCACTTGGATTTCATTTGACGGAAAGAAAGAAGGGAGGTTTGATCATGATTTTTGTGCCACTAGTGTTTCCTCTTTCATCTCATCAACCTGACTACTCTTTATTTATTTTTTCCAACATTTCCATCACTCCTCTATATGCTCTATATACCAAATCTCTACAAAATATAGCTGTACAGCTGTGTACTGAAAATATCCCTCAGTAAATAAATAAAAGTGTACATTACACGGTATGTAGATGTACATAAATGGGCTCTTCTCTCTACTTTCTGCTAATAAAACACAGAGAAAGGAAGGCAGAGCGATGCCTTCCTTCCCCTCCTTTCTTTATGGATTTACATTCAGATTTGTGTCAGTGAGGTCCCACCGGGGGGGCAGTGGTAACAAGGGGTTAAAGTGACCCCTTAACTTTTAAAAAAATACACAGGGAGCGACACTTTGCCAGTCCGAAACTATCCAAACATTCCCCGTAATCTCCTGTGCTCGTTTTATCTCCAAGTGTTCTTAAAGCATTAACCAAGCTAGCTAACCCGCCACAGGCAGTCCCACCATTTTGCTTGTTAGTGTTAACGTTACACAAGGCAGAGAGTGCTAGCGTGTTAGCATTTCTGCTGGGTTATTATGTTGCTGGGGGCTGGAGGGTGGCATAGCAGCAGTGGTGGTGCAGGTGGTGCTCCCTGTGTCTGCTGCTGCTGCGCTGTGGAGGAGGGTAACGTACTGAGGCCGGAGGGTCGGATGTGTTGGAGGGCAGCCTGGAGGAGGAGGAGGAGCGCTGGGTGGTGACGGTGGAGGTGGAAAGGCCCGTGCAGGAACGTTCGCCCTGGCTGAGGTTCCTCTTGCGCTCGCGGACTAGCAACCTCTGGTGGCGCTTCATCCGCTCCAGCTGCTCCTCCGCCGTCATTCTCCCTGGGGGCTGGGCGCCCGGGAGCTGCGGGCCTTCAGTGGGCGATGACAGACGCTCAAAGGCACTCTTTGGTCTCTCCTGGTGAGACTGTAAAGGAAGACACACACAAGAAGAAGGAATTTGTTAGTGGTTTTAAGCGATGTTGAAGAGGGGAGTTCTTTTTTGGGATTTCTTGAAGGTGGAGAGTGAGGGGGGAGTCTCTGCTGTTTTTTTTGGGAGTGAGTTCCAGAGGGTGGGAGGGGCAATGGAGCGATGGTTAGAATGTTAATAACATCAAGCCTTAACAAACATTGAGCCAGTCTTGATTTGTCCAGCTGATCACAGGGGTCTGCTGTTACCTCCACCCCTGTTATCTTGACTCACCCTGGCTGCAGAGCTTCCTCTCCTCAGGGTGACATAGGACGAGATGTAGTTGGACTGGTTCAGCCGCGATGAGGAGCCTGACAGACCTAGTCGATGATATCAGGACAAGAATCAATACCAATAAGTACTCACAAAGTGTCTCTCATTCTTGTCGGTTAAAAAGTTGATAACCTGTACTTTATGCACACTTGAAGTTTAAACGAGCTACGATAAAGTCAGCAAAGATGGATAATTAAATATTCTATGGCTCTGAACATCTTTGCGGAACATATAACTCATATTACAAACATGTTGTCTTATTTTGAAATTGTAAAACATGAGTAGACCAACAACACATATTTAGGTCTCTGAGCTTCTCTGCACAACCAATTATCTGACTGCTCTGTTTCCACATCAACTCAACAGCAACTTCTCTGCATCATAGTGAAAATAACAACTAAAGTTATAATGACAGTTACATGTTTGAGTTGGTTTAGATCTCCTTCTCTCTTATGTGTTGTTCATTGTTGCATTTGTCTTGTAATCTGTGTGTCATGATGGATGTCGAGCTTGCTGGCTGCAAACAAATCTACCTACAGGTAGAAATAAAGTAACCTGAACCTGATGAAGCTGCACAGCGTATAACATACTGACACCTCGACATGCCAAAACAGATAAGAGTAAGATAAGAATTTATCAGCCTGCTTTAAATTGTGCATCCCTTCTTTTGTATCATATGTAATGGGAAAATAGCAGCAAGGTCAGGAAATGCAAGGTCACACGTAATGCTAAATTAAAGAGGAAATTCTTTCAGTTAAACATAAAACACAAGTTGGAAAACTTGCTAATCATTCAGTATAAGGAGTGAGTTATACGACATATCCAGTGTTGGAAAATGAATGCTTAAGAGCTTGACATTTTGTATTTACAAAATTAGATTCCCAATCTATTGAAAATGTTCATTATAGTTGACCATCTCCTCTGAAACGTACGCCTCCTCTGATGGTGGCAACGAGTGATAATTCAATGATAGATTTTAATTGGAGAATTCTCGAGTCTGAAGAGATTGAGTCTCAAAAGGAAAATGTGTTTCTTTCTGAACTCAAACACACCTTTACATAGTACATATTCACGTTTGAATCAATTTAATTAAAACTTGTTAGGTACAGATATTTCTCATATTTACACCCTTTAGCAAAAACAGTTACCAATATCCCATCAAAAATATAAACATTTCAATTCCACTGACACTCTGACTGTTTTAATTACACACAAACTAAATCGAGGACAGACTTATAGCTGGTATTCATTAATTTTTTTAAATCACTAGCCATAAAAAATGCTTTTTTAAAGAGGGCATATTATGAAAAATCAATTTTTACAGTGTTTTTCAACATAAATGTGGGTAACCTGAGTGTCTACCGACACAGAAAAGGGTTACAATATGTCCTCTTTAAAGTTTTATTTTACATGTTACAGTTCAGATACCTTGGCTTTGGAAATACTGGTAGTCAGCATCAGACCCGGCGCTGTGGTGGCTCATCGCTGGCAGCTCTGGTTCACTCAAGTACGACCGCAAGTCGGGCTGACACAAAGACAAATGACAAAGAAAGACAGCTGGATATAAATTAATGTAAAGACTTAGTTTGTGATCAACCTCGTCAAAGATGGATGTCAACGTCTTCATTTCAACAAAATTCATAAACAGGACATTTTTACCATACCTTACAGTCTCCATTGATGACATACTGCCCGCTCTCCCGGTCCCTTTTCCTTTCATCTGATTGGCGTTTGAGCCCACGCACAGACATGTGGCGGATGACCGAGGCCTCTTTGGGGAGAGGCGGCACCACAGGGGGCGTCTCCTCGTAGTCGTAGAGGCGAGGCAGTGGTGGCCTGGGAGGGGCGCTTTCCTCTGCCTGGATCAATCAATCAGAGTGGAGTGTTTTTAGAAGTACAACAGGAACTTTTGGTGAGGCTGCAGAAACTCAATCAGAATAAATCCATACTTTATAAAACTTAACATCACGTCGATGTCGTTGAGTATTTCTCCAGCGGGAGGGCGACACTTACCCACTTTGGCACAGTGCTGTGAGGCAAAGTGTAGGAGACGATGGTGGGGATGGAGCTGCGAGGAGGAGGCTGGACCTCCTTGATTGGAGAAGGCACTGCCGAGTCTGACACTGAAGGCACTAATTTCCTCTCTAGAGGAACCGAACAGAGAAAACTAAGTTTGGCTTTGAATTGTCAGATGGATTTAAAGTAAGAGAAAAAATCACTCTACCATTCTTCATTTTTCTAAAAACTACGAGAGTGACTTTTTTTAGATAATAAGTATTAAGTTGCCATGGTAACCAACCTGGGTTCTGGACAGAGTCGATGGTGATCTTGTAGTTGGTTTTGCTGGCACTCAGTCCTGCCATCACGTCCTCGATCCTCCACAGCTCGCGCTTCATATCAGCTTTCTCCTGCTGCAGTTTTACATATGGCAAACACACACACACACACACACACACACACACACACACACACACACACACACACACACACACACACACACACACACACACACACACACACACACACACACACACACACACACACACACACAAAGTTTTGTGAAATCGCATGTTCTATTCTGCTTTCACGTATGTTTGCTGCACCTTGGCTTTAAAGGTGACAGATTTGATTGTTTGATTGTCATTTTTAACCCCTTCTCCTGTTGTACTCCAGATTTGTAACTTGATTATCGGCCTACTTCACATTGATACCAACCAAATGGGTGTTATTCATGCTCTATGTGGGTCATGATTGTAGCTGTGTATAAAGCTGCAGTTCCAGCTCTCACCTGGTGGGTGGTGCTGTGGTTCATGTGTGCCTGCAGCACCATCCTCAGCTGCTCCACTGATCGCTCCAGTCGGCTGTACTCCTCCCAGGCGAGTGCCATCTCCTGCAATACACACACACACACACACACACACACACACTCAGAATAACACATCATTAGAAAAATCATTATATAAGTGTTTAAATAATAATAATACCAAGCAGCCACACTGTCTCTCATTCACACAAACACATGCACAAACCGTGGAGAGGCGTGAAATCTGGGCCCTGATGGTTACCAGGTCCTCCTGCAGCAGCCTCTGCTGGTAGGCGATCTTGCTGGCGTGGGCCGGCTGCTCCTGGTACTGCTCCATCTGCTGGTGGGACAGATCCAGAACACTCTCCAGCTTGTCCTAAAGGAGCCAGCAGTCAAGAGGTTAACCACAGCTTTGTTCAGACGCTTGAAGCTCTGCAAATGTGTACTCAAGATTAATCTGCCAATTAGACTGCAGAGGGCAGCATGTTTCCAACAAGGTCTTCCAACAATTTGAGCCCCTCTAGCCAAAAAAACATGTTCATTTAGACTAATTAATTATAGAAAAAAAATAAACAGTCACAAAAATCAACGCTAATTAATTGTACTCTGATGTCATGTGTCACTGATCGTACAGCCGTCCACAGCGGACTTAGAAATGTCATGGCTTTTTGTTTTATTGTTATCCATCTTTTGAGACGAATAAAACATAGATGAAGAGGGAGAGAGACGAAGAGAAGAGGGCGAGGCAAGCAGCCTGCAGAGAACAGAAGTGCACTGTCTGTGTGTGTGTGTGTGTGTGTGTGTGTGTGTGTGTGTGTGTGTGTGTGTGTGTGTCTGTGTGTGTGTATGTGTGTGGGAGTGTTGAGGTGTTGGCAGGGAAGAAACTTGATCAGCTTAAAGTGAATTCACTCATTAACATGAAGAACAGTAGAATTGAAATGTGGAAGCTTTGTAGATAAAACTATAAACAGGGTTTCCAACAGTGAATCAAGCTGTAATTCAGTCCTTCTCATTTATACATTACTAATTAATTAAAAACTCTGCAATTAATTATATTTATAAAAATGTAATCAATTGACAGCTCTACTTTTTGCTCTACTTGCTTGGAAATCTAATCTAATCAAAAAATTAGATTTTTAGTGCTGTCTTCTTTCTGAGTCCTGATTCACCATCTTTAAAATCAAACTTCACTGCAGCTCATGAGATATCAGCAGTCTGAGCTCTGCCCTTGAACGTGGCACGATCCTTTTTTATACTTCATCAAAGTGCCCGTCATTTCATGCCTGATGACTCATCACTCAACAACCAGATGCTTTGATTGACAGGCGGCCTCTTTAACTAGCGGGGTCGTGTGCACCTTGTCGTCCTTCAGGGAGCTGATCCTCGCCTCCAGATCCTTCAGTATCTTGTCCTGCTCGCACAAGCGGCTCAACTTCACCTGCAGAGGGAGACACAGAGCTGAGTGGAGCATGAAGAAAATAAACACTTCTCTTGTGCACTAAAGAGTGTTTCTGCGTGTTGACCTCTGGTGATTAAGTGCTCAATTTACTTAATTACACCTTCCTCCTGTTTGTGCAGCCGATAAATTAGCAACTGCAAGAAGGAGAGTGTGTGTGTGTGTTACAGAGTACATTGTTGTCTTTTCACCTGTGCTTTGTGCAAATACACACCTCTGATTTAAATATTTAAAGGCATGCATGCAGGTTAGTAACACTTAATATCCTCAGTCCCATAGTGCCCCTGCTCTCATTCAGGTGTAATTACTGTGAGTGAGAACATCCCACAAAGAGAGTGCGACCCACCTGACACTTTTAATTACAGTGTCAGGGAGGCTCTTTTTAATTAAACCATGATTAAATCGAGCAAACTTCAAGGCAGAGGTTGAATCTCTTGGGATAAAACAACAACACATGCACACCGTGAGGTCAGTTTTGGGTGAACAAAGTGCTTACCAACGTACATTTTGACACTCCATACAGTTTTGATCCCCCTTCAGATGAATTATTAATCCGCTTGTTTTCTCCACTGCGATGTTGCTGTTGGATCTAATCGAATATTCATTGCGTACAACGCTCTCATCAATTGTTGAAACAGCTGCGTATGAAGCTTTTACTGTGAAATACTTTGAGAGGAGGTATGAGACTGTTTGGAAAGGCCGCAGGGATTTGTTTGCATAATCAAACTGGAAGAGTGATGATTTTCAACTATTAGCACTGTGTTGTCTGCCTCTTGACGCTAAGAGCAATAATACCCTCCTCCCACGCTTTCCCCACAACATCTATGTTTTGTTTTGTCTTAATAAACCTCACTTTTCTCCAACGATCGAGCTGAAACATTCAGTGCTGCTTTCCTAACTCAAATCTCACTCTCGCTTGTTTGGAGCAAACACTGCACACGAGAAGAGGAGGCAGCCAGTGTATCTGAAAAGTGAAGCAAAGCTCGACTGTTTGCACAATGAGGGATTTAGCAACAAACAACTAAATGAGTCCTATTTTTAACAAAAGCTGCCGTGAACAAAAGAGAGAGAGCACTGTTGAAATACATGATTTGTACAATGCATATAGTCTGCAGGAGTTCACATTCAATTTCATTCATTAAAACAATAAATCAGCCGATACTGGGGCCCAGGACTTCTATTTTTGTCTTATTGGTATTGAAACAGGTATCCATTTTGTTTTGTGTAAGTTTAAAAAACTTCTTGGGGCGCTGGTGGTGCAGTGGTGCAGTGGTTAGTGCGCGCGCACAAATCCTCAAATCCCACCTGTGGCTCCTTTCCCGCAAGTCATTCCCCACTCGTTCTCTCCCTGATTTCCGACTCTATCCACTGTCCTGTATCTATTTGTATTTGCACTAAGCTACATTCCTCAGTATAAATCAATGGATACATTTGACACATTGTTCATTTAAATAAAGTTTATGATGAGATTGTAGGGGAAAAAAAAGAGGAAGGTGTGCACACTGTTCAGCTTCCAATGAGAAATTTAATTTGAACCACTGCCTTAGCCTGAGGAAGCTCTTTTGGATCGACACGTTACCCTGTTCAGAATTTAGTTGCTCATTTGGAGCTGAACAGTGTGAACACCTTTCTCTTTTCTTCTGTACGTCATGCATTTTGTGTCCTGCACCTGCATGCATTTTGCTTGGATGTGCACAAACTAGTTTTCTCTTTTCATAGCAGCAAAATAAAGCATAAACATTTACATTAAATCTAAAATTTGCATTTCTACAGCAGCCCTTTAAAGTGCTTTTATTTACTCCATTTGCCTGTGGTTGTTTTGTTTTTTTTAGCTCTCGACTCGCAACTTTCAGTCTGACTTTTGCACCAAATTAAATTTATGTTGTTGACATGTCATCTTAAAACAACCTGTTTACTTACAGAGGAGCAGACAGGTTCAACCACATAACCTCCTTCACGGTGCAAAGAATAGAAGTGTGTGAATTTAATGCAGCCACTGTTTTAAAAAGCTCTTAAGCACTTACATCCACATCACTTTCTGCAACCTTGACAGCTTTCCCCGACTCCTTCAGCGTCTGACTTCCAGCTACCTAAAAATCACAAAGTAAACATTTCCACATGTGACATTGGTTTGTAAGAAGTGTCTGAATTATGGCACAATGCTGCTGAAATCAGAGTGATACAGAACACAGAGAGCAGCTACAAACTACAGGATAACAAGGCTGAGACAGACTCTATGTGACACATTCTCTTTGCCTCTTGTACATGACAGCATGGGTGAGTTTGGCACATAAAATCCGCTCTTCAAACGAAGAACATGATGGCTATGGACACTTTGAAGCCCTGCACAAGTTGCCTTATCAATAAAACATGTGCAAGCACGCAGTGTTCCCTCCATGCAGACAAAGTTGCAGTATTTTCTGTGAGAGCAGGAAGACATGTCTTTAAGAAACACACACCCTGCAGGGATCAGGTTCAGGTGCTCACATTGTGTTTCACTGCACGGCTGCCGACTAAAAGTCGACCATTTGAAACATCAGTCAGAAAGATCCCAAATCGAGTGTTAAATTTGCACATGAGTCAGTGTTTTAGCTGAGTCAATGAACCCGGAGCACAGCAGGAGAAACAGAACAGCACACTGAAAATCTTTCAAACGTAGTTTGTCCCTAAATGACCTTTTTGTGCTCATGTTTCATTTTTTGCCCGGGGCAGAATTATCTGCAGAGGTTTACTCCTCTCCAAAGCAAACAGACTCGATGAATAAAACCAGTACAAAAAACACTGAATAAAAGATTTTCACATTTCACAAATCAGGGTTTCTCTCTGCAGACACTGGACGTCAAGGCTGCTAGCTGAGCAGCTGCGAGATTCACTTGAACTTGCTCGACTTGTTTTTAGGTTGAAGTTTCTTCTGTGTTCTTTGTTCACAGGGTTTATATGAGGAGCAGAATAATCCACAGAGGGTTCCCCCTCTCCAAAGCAAGCAGACAGGATGATTATAGCCAGTTCAGCACACCGAATATGAAAATCTCACACTAAAACGAAATGTTACCCCGACACTCAGAAGAGTCGCCTTAGATTTAGCTGATTTAACCAATATTATAGATAATGATGATGTGACTTGAAACGGGAAAAAAATGTTTAAAGCTTGAAATGTTTGAATGTCCGTCTGACTGTCAGCTCTTTAACAAGCGTTATACAACAAGCGTCATGCCGCATGCCCCATGTACAGAGGCTGTAGTCTTGCTGCAGTCGCCATGGGTTTGATTCCAGCCTCGGCCCTGTGCTGCAGGTCGTTCCCCACGCTCTCCTCGCAACATTTCCTGTCTCTCTTCAGCTGTCTGATCCAATGAAGGCAAAAAGGCACAATAAAAAACTGCAGTTCCTCAAGTGTCCACAGGGTTGAAAGTTTGTGATAATTCATCCGATTGATTGCATAAGGGCCAAATACAAGGTACAATTAGGCTTTGTTGACTGACAGGTGGGCATATTGTAGCAGTTTGCAGGAAGGCGTTATGGTCATCTCCATTTTATTTCGGATGTCGGAAATTCCGAATTGCCGGTCTGATGCTTCATCAGGAACGTCCTCTAGAAGTCAGAATTCTGACTTGGAGTACCTTCAGTGCTCAGAGTTCAAATCCAGCATGGCTGCTACATGCGTCAACAGTAACGTTTAACCTGTCACTATTGTGGTATCACGTGGTATCAGCTAACACAACAAAGGCGTCCATGTTGCTTGTCCGACTTGTTGCCAACTCTCAGCTGGAACGTGGTTAACTCGGCTGTGACATCATTCCCGGCTCCACGTTCTGAGGTAAGGCCCGCCTCAGCTCCGCCTCTTTGTCAGTTTTAAGATTGATCAAAAATTGGCCTGAGTTCACATTTCCAACACAGACCATGATCGTTGGTCTTCATGACGCCTCTTCAGACACCGATGGGTGAAATCCCTGAGACTACGACCATGTTTTAATTGCGGGAGCACTGAACTGAATCCAAGGTGCAAAGAGTCGAAGCTTCGTATTGAACAGCCAAGTTATTACAGACTGAATCCCGAGTCAGAAACAGACGTGTGTTACTATCAGGGTTCTAGAGTGCGAAAATGACCTCCTGAAACATGTTTTTTTGCTTGTTGGAGAAGCATTAAATTCAAGTTCATGTGCAAATTTGAAAAATGAAAATGTCGGCAAATTTCACCCTTTACAGCTCTTTCTCGTGCTTATTAATTCTTAGTCAAGCCGATGGAAGAAGCAGCTGGCTTATCGACCACTGGGCCACAGCCACAGCCACAACACATGCACTGCCGAGCCGTCCCATGCCCACTGAATGTTTGCCAGCATCGCCAACATCACCACATGGGAGGAGGAGGAGGAAGGGTGGAGGACAGGTCAAAGGTCACGATGAAGACATTTGATTCCATTCAAGCTGTGGATGTGGTGCTGTGAGCGATGGGATGGTCTATTTCTAGAATCAAGAATCTCTAAACACATGAGGACATACACACCCACATACAGATTACACACATGCATCCCTATAGTCTGAACACTGTAGGAGCATGCACAAGCATAATGCACGCACGCACACACACACACACACACACACACACACACACACACACACACACACACACACACACACACGCACACACACACACACAGAGAATCACAGACACACCAGCTATCTGTGTGTACACCACATATACTCTCTACAGACACACACATTCAGCTTACGTTCATTAGAGGCCTGAGAGGCCCAGCAGTGCAGTGCAGTAGTAAACTGTGAACTGCGAGGATCAGGGGCTCTAGAGCTCTGATCTGGGAGTCAAAATCACAAAGAAACACAGAGCCGAAGTCACAAAATGTTGGCTGCTTTTAAAAAAAAACAGGCACATGGAGAAAGTGCACTGGGGATGTTTTGTTTCTCACACAGATGTTTAAACATCTCTAAGTTACTAATCTGTGACACACAAATGCCTCTGCACAAGAGTTAATCATGAGTTTGTCAGTAAGAAACACCAGGTGTGTGTTAGTTTGAAAGGAAGATCAAATCAAAAAGGCACAGCAGGAATAGAAAACACTTGAATTAAAGCTAAAATAACTACAAAAGATCTGTGCACAAAGTCGCTACGTCTCCTCCTCTCACCTTTAGGTCCAGATACTCCAGGTCCTTCTTCAGCTGCATGTAGGTGTCATCAGCCTGCAGAGTGACAAACATGTCAGCGTGGATTATTGATTTGTGCCCATGTGTATTCAATTATTTAGTGTCTGAGTCGTCTGAATGTGAAGAAGCTTCACTGACGATCACTTCAGCAGGATGTAGCGACACTCGTGTGGAGTCTAAACATGCAGCACAATCAACAAACACACTCTCTCTCTCACATGTACATTAAATATTCATCGTATTGAGACGCTTCCACTGCCACAAACAGAAACAGCAGCACAAACCAGATCCATCAGAAGCAGCAGATCTTAAAAACACTCGCTGAATTCAGATTTAATTCAGCTCACATCACTCCACAGAGAAAAAAAGCACGATGAAAGATTCACAAATCAGAGGACCAAACTGAGCAACACATCCACAAGCAGCCGGTTAGCCAAAAGCATGTGATGGCTCTGTGGACGTGGAAAGAAGTTAGCAACGCTGCATGCTGTGGACGGGGATCACCAGAAGCACACTATGGAAACTGACCAGCCGAGAAACAGCACATGGACAAAAAGAGAGAGGAGGATGGTTCTATGACGGCAGCAGCCAGGCCAGCGCTCACAGGTTTCACCACGTCTGATGTCAAACACTAAAACATGGGAGCGCCAGGGAGAGGTTGCCACTGATGTACTGAGATTTGACCGTTCTCTTAACGTTTGTGTGTTTAGCGTTTAGCTTCATGTATCATTGGAAAGGTTCATTTTTAAGCATTTCTGGTCGGCCACCATTTGATTGATTGTTTTAAGAGACTTAATAAGGATGGAACGAGCTGCTGCCACACTGATGCATCTTGATCACAGCCTACAGAGGGATTGTGGTGTGCAGGTAGAGCGTGTGTCCAATATGTCAGCTGACTATATATGATAAAGCAGTTCAGTATTCAAGGTAAACAAACAATGGTATCACGTCTTGCATGTTACCACACAACCCTCTATGGCACACTCTGCTATAGCAGTCATAAGAAACCCCCAAAGATTATTTGCATGAAATGTAAAGAACATATAAAAAAAAAAAGAGGATCTGAAATATTAGGACTGGTTGTGCAAAATCCTTGGAAATGGTCGCTCGTAAAGTTAGGACAGATAAAATAAACGGTCATTATTTGATATTTTTTTCAAAGACAACATGAAGACGGTACAAGAATTTAAATGTAATAAACTGTCTCTTGGATCTGGGAGCACATACCTTACACACATCACCACTGTCTTTAAATATAGTGTAACATCAGCTATGGACTCATATGTTCAGCATATATCCTGCGTATCTTATTTAAGTGTGATGCAGTACATTGAAGTGCTCAGTGGCAACCTCTGCAGCGCTCTGTAAAATGAGGGGCGGGCGGGCCGGCAGGCAGGCGTGCCCCCACCTGGGTGTTGCAAGAGCCCAGAGCAGCTGAGAGGCTCACATGCCCGAGGCGGGACACAGGAGACGGGCCAGAGCTGAGGAGGGGGCTGGTGCTAGAGGTGGTGCTAGCAGAGAGGAGGTGGTTGTTGTGGAGGGGCTCTTTGGGGCCGTTGAGTCGCTGGAGCTGGGCTAAGGTGTGGTGACGGGCAGAGGCCATCTTGGCCTGATGCCGGCGCAGCTGAATGAGGAACAGGGTGAGCTCCTCGGGCTGTCGGGCACCACAGGACAGAGAACGTGGCGTCAAAACGGACCACACCAAACCTCTAACTTCAATGTTTAAAAAAAAAAAAATGTTTTTATACTTGCTTCGCTGAAAGCCTCTTTAGTGTGATCAGCTGAAGGGCCAGATTGAACAAGCAGAACAGCAGCTACATTTAGGGGGATTAATGCACTGAAAATGATGATAATGTTTCCCCAGTGATCATCTGCAGCCGCACGGCTCATGGCCACAAAAATAAATCTAAAGTTTTTCTACATCTGTTAGCATGTTGTTGCAGTAGAATATAAACACACCACTGGTGACGGATTTCTCTGCTGTATCAGAGTGTGAACACCGCGTCGTAAAACATGGAAGCAAACTACAGAGGTTACTACACATTGATTCAACACAGGTCTGTAAAGCCTTCAAATTTAAAAAGGGAAAGTTTGCTTTTTTATTTAGGATTTTCAACGCTTTGCTTTGCCTTGCCGTCCTTTCCTCCAGCATTAAGTTCTTTCACAGTAGTCATCCAACAAGGTGAAACAGAAAAAATATCCCAAAAATGATGTGGATTTGTTTTAGATGGGACTCTTTAAACTGGTTTTACGTAGGTTTGACTCCAGACCATTTCAACTACGCTACAGAGTTTAGCTCCTGTCAGCGTGTCCAAACATGTGCACACGCTGACGGTCATCTACTGAATATAGTACACTTACTATTGATAATTAACTCGTACAACTTCACACACTCAAAACTATGTCTTTAAGGGTTTTCTTCTCCAGGTTCAGTTGAGAGAAAAACACAATATTTAGTATAAAGTCATCCATGCCTGACGGACACAGGTGTGATTTTCTGGACGTACCGTTTTGCCGTGGAGGCTGGGAGCACTGACTGTGTGTGTCATGTAGCCAGATGGAGGCATTGACCGTCTGTCAATAGTAGCAGCCTGACAACACATAAAAAAACACATTTTAAACACTGTCTGACTTAATGCAGTGACATTAAGAAATCAAATTACAGACACTATGTGTGTTTTTGAAATGGTGAAGAATGTGCTGTATAAACAACGTTCACATCACCCGGGAGCCGCAGCTCTGGTTTTTAAAGGAAGCCATACACATGACCTTGATAACACAATTCTTTTTTTTTTTACAACCTCCAGGCATATTTAATTTGCTTTCGGTTGTAGGAGAGTGGGTGTACATTTGCATATTTGTAAGTTTTCCACTCAAAGTTTGATATGCAAATACTAATGGGGTGGCTCGTTCCGATCACTCTGCATACATTTGACACATGAATTTGAATGCATTGTATATTCAACATTATGTTTACTTTCAGCAGAGTTGATTGTTGAGTGATTGCGGTGACAGGCAAGGTTATTTTACAGAGCGGGGTGCATTAAGGATTTGTCTGCTGTGTCACCCTGCAGCACTAAAACAATTATTCTGTTCAGTAGAGCAGAGTTCCAACATCCGGCCGCAGCCTGTCACAATGACTGACACTGTTCTGCATGAGAAAATAATCTCTTTGATGTTTTAACATTTGAAAAAAAAAAAGGATTAAAAGGTACAAAAAATCTGCAACAGAGAATATATTTCATATGACAGAAGAAGAAGTATTCTGTTTTCATCCTCATGCCACTGAATCTGAAGCCGCGTTCACACCTGCACAAAAATTCCTGAAGTTTTCGAGGTGAGCAGCATGTGTGAACGCAAACAGCCGAGTTTTTCATTTGGATTTAATCTGCAGTTTCTCGTGCCTACCCCCTACTGTTCTTTCCTCAAAGTGGAAGGGAATTCACCTCGAGCGAGTGGGAGGGGGATGGTGATATTTATACCCTGCGTTCAGTCTACAACTTAAGACTTTATGGACACAACTGTTACGATCTCTGTAGACGTTATTAAACTGCTGCTTTATCTTTTCCATTGTCTTTCCATTTCCATGTCAAGCCACCTTGGGCTTTGTCTTGCATGAAGGCTGCTATGCAAATAAAGCTTTTGTTACTATAACTAACTTCATTATTAACTTCAGTCTCTTAAAGGTCACATATCCTCCTCTTCATCCAATTTAATTAAGTCTCAGAGCTCCCCAAAACATGTCTGTGAAGTTTCTTGTTCAAAATCCACTCTGATCCTGTATTTGATCATGTCTATAAACCCCTCTATTTCAGCCCTGCTCAGAACAGGCTGTTTCTGTGTCTGTAGCTTTAAATGTAAATGAGCTGTGTCTGACCACGCCCCCTCTCTGGAAGGTCTTGGCGCTTTCTCGCTTCATGTCCTATTGTTTACAGTGAGATGGCAGACTCAGAGGGTAGAACAAACACCTAGCTGTGGGAGTGTCACCCACCCGGGGGAGGGGTTACTTCCCTTTGTGATGTCATGAAGGGAAAATCTCCAAATGGCCTGTTTGAGCACACATTTTCTGAAAAGTGAAGCAGGCAAAAGACAGAGAGGATGGACCTTTCTCATCACTTGGGCGTTTGTAGACAGACTAGAGACACATATCAGATTTAGAAAAGCATGATAAAGTGTGATTTGCACAATATGTGTTCTTTAAATAACAAGTCTAAAACTCCCACAGTATCTTAAAGCTGCCTCAGAAATACTACTTTTATGTTTTTCTATCTTTGATACTCAGGTACCTCCTGTTGATCAGTCGGTCACTTAGACTTAATAAATTCTCCCTTATGTAGTTCAGTTCTATCAGACTTCATTTTACCTTGAGCATCTGAGATTTGCTCCTGCGGGGGGAGATGGTGAAGGGGATGTCCACCACTGAGCGATCACCCACAGGTCTGACTGTCACCCGCCCAGCCGGCGTGTGCGGCCTGCGAGTGGGCGACAGGGTTCTGCTGCTCCCGGGTGGAAGACCAGGTGGAGGGATGTCTGCGGACGAAGGTGGTACTGACACACACCGGGGTCCACCTTCAGACTTAGCTACAGTGGGTGGCACAGTGGAAGGTGGGCGAGGGCCGAACGGGTAATCCGGGGCCGGGGTGTAGAGTGGTGCCGTGGGGCTGCCGTGGCGGTACTGATGTCGCTGCTGCCACTCGTACAGCTGCCACACGGTGTTGGCCGCCGGGCCTCCCTGCTCTGGGGTGAGGCGGAAGTGGCTGAGGCGGTCTTGGGCGTACTTGTACTCGCCGAGTCGGGCGGGGAGGGGGCTCTGGCGAGGGGTCTTTGGCAGTGTCTGGTAGGAGTCCATGGAGGTGAACTTGTGCTGGGTTGGTGGTGTGCGACGGGGGAGGGTGTTCTCTCTGGAGGGGGGGCTGTGAGGGAGAAACAAAAGAGGGTTTATTTTCATTTTAGAGAAGCAAGACAATAAATCCTATCTCACCTTGAATCATATTCAACAATAAAGAGGAAGATAAGGACACACAACAAATGACTTTCACATTTTTACCAAACTTTTTCTGGACATATTAACGGGCTTATGAGGCGCGCCGGTGCAGTGGTTGGTGCGCATGCTCCATGAACAGAGGCTGTCGTCCTCCAAGTGGGCGGCCCAGGTACGAATCCGACCTGTGGCTCCTTTCCTGAATGTCATTCCCCACTCTCTCGCTCCCTGATTTCTGACTCTGTCCACTATCCTATCTCTACACTAACGGCACAAAAAGCCCCAAAAATATATCTTGAAAATGAAATGAAAGGCTGTTCCTGCAGCGTGCTCTGAATATCCTCATCAGACATCTACCCTCTGACATATTTATCAAGCGACCTGTTAGTGACTGGTCGTATATTATGATAAAAACTGTCATTATAGCATCAGACGCTGTAGCCTCATCTGCCATTTCCTTGTCATCCTTTTCACATCATGTCTCAACTCCTGAGACCTCCCCCGCCCCATCCAACAGGATAATCCCACACTATGAGGATCATGTGTGAACAACCAACTCAAGAAGATTTCAGGGGCCGTCTGTTCGAACATTTTAAAGAAACTTTAAAGAAGTGCATGGGTGAAAAAGGCTTTCCACATATGTCAAAGACCTACCCTTTCTGGACATGGACCCACTGCTCCACCTGCTCCAGAGTGCTCCTCCTGTGCACCGGTTTGTGTGTGTCAGCAGTGGGCGCTGGGGGGGCCCTCTGATAGGTCCCAGCAGCTATCCCGTTCGGCTCCAGGATGGGGCTGGGCGTGGACACGAGGCCGTTCCTCGTACAGACACTGGAGGGCAGTGTGGAGGCGGCTCTTGACGGTGCCCTAGATGGAACCCTGGACACGGGCGCTGAAGCCGACACGTGGTCTGACAGCGGGAGGGCGAAGGGGGCGAGATTAGAGGGGAGGGAGGTGTGTGTGTCCATTTCCAGGGGTGTGCTTCCTAACATGGTGGTGGCAGGAGAGTCTTTGTGGAAGCTGCAGCGGTCGTCTGCATCGCGGTGGAACGGCTCCAGGAGAACCTCATGGACAATGGGTCTGATGGTGTCAGAGTCTGGCATTTTGGACTTGTGGTTGTTTACGTGGTTCGTCTGTGGGACAGCGTGTTGCTGCACCGTTTGCAACTTCTCAAAATTCTCAGACGGTCTGTGGAGAATAAGGATAACATAATGAGTCATAGTCCTTCATACTCTTTTAATTCTCTAACTTTCTTACTCACTTTTAAAGGTCACATATGATGAAAGATACCCATTACCATATTTTTTCTAACTCTAATATGTGTCCCTAGTCTGTCTAGAAACCCCCCAATTATGAGAGAAGTCCTTCCTCTCCGTCTTCTGCCAGCTCCACTTTTCAGAAAATGTGTGCTCAAACAGGCGGTTTGAAGATGTTCCCTTCATGACATCACAAAGGGCAGTAACCCCTCCCCCAGCTGGTTGAAACTCCCACAGCTAAGTGTTTGTTCTGCCTTCTGAGTCTGCCTTCTTACTGTAAACAATAGGACATGGAGCGAGAAAGCCCGAGCGAGAAAGCCCGAGCCCGAGCCAAACCCTTCCAGAGAGGGGGGCGTGGTCAGACAGAGCTCATTTACATATTTAAAGGTACAGACACAGAAACAGCCTGTACTGAGCAGGGCTGAAATAGAGGGGTTTATAGGCATGATCAAATACAGGATCAGAGTGGATTTAGAACAAGAAACTTCACAGACATGTTTTGGAAAGCTTTGAGACTTATTTAAACTTGACATTTAATGAGTTTTATTCAAGGTAATGTAGTTTAAAAGTTTGAAAAAATGGTTGTTAACCCTTAATAAACCCCCGAAAGGAAAGATGGGCTGGGGAAGGTGAGGAGATAATGTGACACACCTGCTGGAAAAAAGTGTGTGTGTGTGTGTGTGTGTGTGTGTGTGTGGGGGGGGGAGTGGGGGGGAGACAACATGTAAGCAATCCGTTAGAATAAAATTACAATATAAAATAATACAATGACTTGAGTTAAATTACTAATGTTTTCTAAAAATGAATAAAAAAAACAAAATAAGGGGGTGAAAAATACGGTTTAAAAATATTGGAAGCAGGAGCCGGGTTTCTCTGGGTTTCCTTTTCTGTCATTCATGAACAACCCGTCTCCTCTTGTGGGATGTCCTCTTCCAAAGCAACAAATAAAAACAATGAAAGCGTCAGAGTGCAAGCTGCCGGGTGTGTGAAAATGCCAGTGAACGATGGAACATATTTGATCTGTGCAACCTCCCGCAGTCTACACATAAATAATGCATGCAGAGAGCGGCTGCTGTCTCAAAATGCGGCATTTCTCCACATCACAAACGTAAGCTCTCAATCAAACAAACACGCCGGGGGGAAAAGAACTGTGTTTATATGATATAGCTTTCAGGCTGAGGCAGAGTTTTGAGATGTTTTTCCAGGAGTCAGTGTTATCTATGGTGACATGTTTGCAATCAAGCATGCAAACAGATCTCATTTCACTTGAAGCCTTTCGCTCGATCTTAAAAGACAAAAAACTCCAGATCGTTGGAAAGTGTCTGATGTGTTTTTAAATTGTAATCTGTCATCACAACTCTGAACTTCATCTGCAAATCGATTTGCACATTGTAATTGTTGTCTGCTCCTAACTTAATGTCTGAAAACTGTTTCTTAATCATGTAATATTATGATGACGTGTGCTGCTGCGGCTTTATTGGCCAGGTCGCCCTTGTGAAAGAGATCTTGAACTCAATGGGTTAATTATAAAAGGTTAAATAAATAAAAAAAATCAAAATATAGAAAGGGCTGCAACGATGGATTTGGATGGAGTCGTTGATTGATCGCACCCAAAATAAATGTAATGATGTATGTGTAGATGTAGTGCTGCTGCCTGTCTTGGCCAGGACGCTCTTGTAAAAGAGATTTTTAATCTCAATGAGACTTTTTCCTGGTTAAATAAAGGTTAAAAATAAATAATAATTAAAAAAAAAAAATGTAGTTATATCTATAGGATGTATTTAGTTCATGTACTTTTTTTGTGTGTGTGTCAATGTAAGAAAATGTTGAATTCATAGTTTCCCAAAACAATGTCTTCAAGTGTCTTGTATCTCTAAAAAAAATCAGTTTTGTTTAAAAAAAAACAACACAGAAGCTATATACTGGATACAAACACAAGGGGGAGCTCAAGGGATGAGGTGGACAAATCTGAATTTTTTGGTAGTGAAAGTAAATGAAATGTTGTTCTGGTGTGTTTCTATAGGTGCAAAGAGACTGAAATGACCCACAAACTCAAACATTCAGCCTGATTTAGGGTGGGCAGTTCTTCTTAATTGTGTGTTCAGTGGCATAATTTGCATTCATGCGTGTGTTTGTGTAGGCCCACCTGATGAGTGTGTCCGTGTGCTTCTGCATCATGGTGGCCTGGTTCATGGCCCTCAGCCAGGTGGTCATATCCTCCTGTGTGTCGGCGCTGAAGTAGTACGTCCGCATCCCTGTGTGTTCCGCCTGCGAGCCAATCACAGAGCTCTGCTTGTAAATGTACGAGCGCATACCAGTGTGGCTAGCCTATACGGGAAGACAGTGGAGAGCGGGTTAGCGGCGCGGAGACATCAGCTGTGTTATGTCAGAGAGACGGAGGAAGATATCATGCTGTCCGAGAGGAGAAACAACATCAAGGGCCACATAAGCATCGACCAAAACACAGAGAGAGAGAGAGAGAGAATGAAGGAAACCACACAAGAGAAAAACAGACAAAATGCCAGCCAGGTACAACCAACAAAGCCACAACTCTGGACCAATGAGAGGAGAGAGTCTTCTGTACAATGGAGAAAATGTGAGTGTCAGAAAAAAGGAGCATATTCTCCTCACAAACCTGCTCGTGTCTCTTCTTTAACAGCTGAGAAAACTACTAAGAACATATAAAATAGTGAATAAACGTTTAAAAACATCTTCTGGTACCATTGATTTTCACTATCTCTTTCAAAATAAGGAAATAAGATCAACAACTGTCTTGGTCTAGCAAAGAAAAGCAAAGAGGTGGAGTGAAATGTGAGCTTGATCAGTTTCCACTTCACGTCGAAGGTAATTGGTCACTGTGATTTAAAGTGCCGAGCTCACGACAGCCATGCAAGAGTTGAGGTTGGATATGTCTTCATGTGCGCACTGAGACGGCCATCAGTCAGATGATCTTATATAGTCGTGGTGTGACAGTCCAGAGGCGTCCTGTACCAATTCATCAGCTTGCAGAGAATCAGAAGAATCATATTGAACAGAACATTTAATGTGAGAACAGGTGAGACACAATCTTACTAGCACTGTGTGTGTATCTGTTTTTAAAATGTGAAGTTACTCACATATATGGTCTTATTGTCTGATGTGATGTTCCAGACATAAATCACAAGCCTTTGGCCAAAGCGTATGCGACACTGTCTGTCATTTTTTGCTGCTAATATGTACTTCAACATGTTACAAGCATTGGTAGACTATGTTTAAAGGAGAAGGCATGGTCACTACGACAAACCCGACTATTACAACCAGTTTAAAGACTGTGTTACAGTCCGTTTTGATTTCACAGCCCCAAACACTCATTAACCTCTTTTAAAACCTGCATCAAGCGACTGTTTTTAGCTTAAAAGTTTTAGTTTAAAACAGTGACTGTAAAACAGAGAAGTGGATGGAGCCTCCAGGTCTGCAGGTTAAAGTGACTCAAGCCTGATTAATGGTGTACGTAATGGGGCACAAAAGAAGCAGGATTGTTTGGAAGTCTTTGAGGCAAACTAGCTTATCTCTCTTGATTTATCACAAGTGATGATTTCCAAACAACTGTATGGTCAGGTCAGGGCAATCACTTGTTTCCAGTCTTCTTATTTACAGCATGACGTGCAATTTGGGAAATATTGTCCCACTGCAAGTTCACTACACAACAAAGCAGCGTCAGGGTTACTTAGGGTAGGCAGGGGGCTCTTAAGCCGGATCGATCAAATATTTTTTTCCTCTGGCTTTAGAACAAGACAATGATGCGAGACACCTCACCGCCAAGTTAGCTCGTAAACAACACGGAGCATTTCACAGCTCATCAGATGTACAGTATATTTACTTCAAGCATTAGCTGTCACAACAGAGAAACTAAAAGGAGAGTCAATTGTTGACTTAGTTTCATAAAGTGGTCATGAAGACACATTCAACTGAATGTTGATTTCATGTAAACGTGTCCATAAGCGCCTGCTAGCTCACATGTTCATCATACCATACTGTATGAGATGATTACACTCGCAGGCAAAATACAACTTCTGCTGATGTTCATGTCTGTCTCTTTCTCTTCTCACTTGGTGAAGTGTTTAAAGACTGTAGATGGATTTCACCTCCACAGGTGGACGGACAGAGACGAAGCAAACTGAGCTTAGAGCTTCCTGAAGACGCTATTGGGTGGATTGTTATCACGGATTGGATGGATTTTGTCTAATTGTCAAATAATTGACCCTCTGTCAAGCCCCGCCCTCCTAAGTTACTAATTCTGAAAAGTTGTTGTATTTAAAGGGATGATTTTGTTTGAGATTCCCTCTCCTAAGGAAAGTGGAGAGTGTTTCTTGCTGTTTCTTCCTCAACGATCAACATGTTTTGCGCTGAGCTGCATTTCAGTCTACTGGGACTTTCATCAGTAGTGAAGTATCTCGGCTCCTCCTGCTCGATCGATCGCTGCCTGAAAGTTTGCTTTACTACTACGCCAGTTCACAGAGAAGCCTTGAGATACTTCTACTCTTGATAATTCATGGACTCAGGGAATGTTCCAGCATGATACTGAATATCTCAGCATGATGTCACCTATATTTAAATCGGCAAAAGGCTTTACATAAGGAAAAACATGCAGCTAATTAGAAACTGTGCAAATTCAAAAAGACGTGCAAAAGTCGGAAACAAATGCAACAACATAAATGTGCCACAAGAGAGGGAAAGAAAAAAACGTGCTGCAAAAAGCCGAAAAAGCTGCTTTAACATTAAATGTTCTGGAAATACAAAAACCATGCAAAGTTTTGCATTTTTATTTTGCTGTTTTCGGTGCCTGTGTGTTTTTGGCTTCCCATCGCTTATGTATCTGCTGTTTATGCAGCACTTTTATTTCATTTGCAGCATGTTTCTGTCGTTGCATTGGCTTTCCACTTTTGCATGAGTTTTTGAATTGTTGCTTAATGTACCTAATGTGTGTTTCCTAATGTAAATCATTTTGATTGTTGCATGGAGGTCGCCCTTGTTGGCCATGCACCGTACTTTCCACTAGGATAAGCAAACACACCAAAGCACGACAGCACTGAGAAACAAAATCAAGGAAGAGTGCATCACTTAAAGCTGTTTTCAATTAATAGAATCTAAGTGTTTTAGAGCTCTGATAAAAAAAAGTGTCCTCGCTGTGAAAGTGGGTAATTAGAGACCAACACACACCATTGTGTACATCTCTTTAAGTGTCCTACTTTTCCCTTCCCTTCCTTCCTTTCTTCCTTCTGTGTTTCCGTGGCGGTCGGGACGGAAGACAAATGAGAGAACCCACTCGACAACAGATGCATGCAAATGAAGACCAATTAAACCTTAAATTCTCCCTACCCTCATTTACTCTCTGAGTAATGAATGCAGGATAACGAGAGAGAGAGAGAGAGAGAGAGAGTGGATTGCTGTGGTGGGATCCACTGTGGCTGTATCACAATAGTATCACAGTGATCTCATTATTGGGTTTATGTACTGATGAGTCTGATTCCTCAGCAGAAATCACATGCAAACTTGTGCGGTCCGGTGTACACACTTAACAAGCTCATAAATAATGCAGACGAGATTGTCACTTCTGCTGTCCTCTCCCTGAGTCTATGAACTCTGAATAAACCCCGGCACACAGATGCAGACATGTACACAAACAAGTATAAGTGCTCCCTCTCCTGCAAGCCTCCAAGGTTTCCTAACAGCTTGCCAACTCTCCTCCCCTCTGAATGCACGGCTGTCTGGCTGCTGAAACAAGCTCATTCCAGAGGCTGCCGCTCCCTCCTTTAATACATAAATATAATTTCCTCACTCATTATGCCTGAGTATGCACTTGACCCCGATCCAGGTACATATTTTAAGATCTGGGAGTCGACTGCACCACTCACTGGATTTGTCCAGCTCCAGATAACCTTGTGCACCAGCTCTCCGGTGATGCTCGGGCGAATGAGGAGAATGAAGCAGAACGAATGAGAAGAAGCTTGTAATGCACTCAGAGATGGACTTTATTCTTTACTTTCATTCTAATTCAATGAATGATGCTATAAAATGTTGCTCGCAGCTCTTTTTAAAGGCTGTGTTCTGGTACTGGACTGCTTCTCTTTTCTAAAATCCTGTTCACACTATTTTCTGGCATGAATTTATTCCACTTATTAGAGGCATTGTAACCTGGATCCTTAAGATATTGATAAGTCGTTGCTCCAGGGTAACTTTATGGGATTTATACCACTTGCTCCACTGTTAACACTGGAAAAAGCACTGATCTTACTGTGAAGCATGTTAAACTTCATTAAATACATCACATCTATACGAGCTGTTCACAAATAGTCCACAACTTCTTAATCTGATGAAGAACTGTCTGTTAGGCCTGAACTGTTACCAGCTGGGCCTTACACTTTAAACAGAGTGGCCTTATGGGAAATGTAGTCTGGCAGGTTGCAGACAACAAGTTGGGTGACGAAAAGGTAGAACGGACCACCTTGGACATATGAAACTTGTGTTTTTCACTGAGTTTTAAAGCAGCGGCTCACTCACACTAAGCAAAGTTATCATGTACTGTGCTTAAGCACGATTGTCCCCCCCCCTCCATTCCCCCGCTGGCCTGCACTCACACAGCTCCAGGACTAATCAGGCCTGAGCACGGTTACAGTTTATAAGACAAGAAAAAAACAGGTAAGCTTCCAATCGGGCACTGTACAGACTGCATAGTGTGAGTGCGCCCTCAGAGGAACCTTCATTTGGTGGCCTCTCTGTAGTACAAAGTGGCACATATCTCTGTGGTCTCTCTGGTCACAACCATTTCAAATCTGCTTACAGTTATTCAACTCCTCAGTACATCAGCTGGAAAATTGTTGGTTAGAAACAGCGACGTGTTCCAGAGCAATGTGTGCAGGAGTGTTGGATGAAAGGAAACAGGCGGGGGGGAAACTATTCACAACCACTCATCTCCCCAAAAAACAAGGATCACAAAATCACTCTAAAAATCCTGACGAAAGGAGCGACAGCATCTTCAGGAAGCAGCTGTCAGAACACTCCTGCTCACTCAGCATCAGCATTCTGACAGACGGACTCTGAGAGCTCAAACAGGACGGACCCGTTGACGAGAGACGGATAACCGAGGAGCGTCAGATGCGTAGGCACGCGCAGAGAAGATAATGACATGCATGTTCAGCGAACAACAGTCAAAAGAAACTAGACACATTTGTCCTCTAATATGTTCGATGTAGCTCTAGCGAAAGTTCGGTCAGGAAGACTGCATTCTGCAGGCTCGTTTTATTATTTATTCTCATACTGTGTTACATTGCTTCTCCATGCATGATCAC